AACAAAAACGGGATAGCTCTCGTATATCAAACACTTTCGTGCTCAGCGTGTACATATGGTACATAGCATAAATAATGCATGTGGAGACGCTGACTAGGAAATAATACAGGCCAGGGTAAGAGTAAACAGTCGTGATGATAAGAATCTGTCTGTAATAAATCTTGTATAGTCATCCGATAAAGAGCCTAATCGTCATCTTAGCGCGTCTCCACATACATTATTTATGCCATGTACCATAGTAGTAGCCTACATACATGAATATTACCATGTAGCAAAGTATTTCCAAGATTATCGCCGACTTACTTGCGAGGTTATAGCCGGCTTACTTCCGAGATTATTAGTTGGCTTATTACTCTCGGAGATCACACAGTAGCTTCGCACTAGTCTACTATCCCTTACTAGACAGTGGAACAATATAAATAAAGGGGAATCTTTCGCACTAAAAGCACTATCATTTCTTTACATATCTATCTATCATGAAGAGTTCTATTATTGCAATTACACTTGGTGTCTTCGTTGCGAGTGGCAACGCGGCGCATTGCTGGACTGCTGGCTCACTTCAACTGGGATGTTCCGGTAACCAGAATTTTGCCAACTGGGTACGTTGATATTTTTCATCCACCTTCGTATAATGACTCTGCCTAGTATCTCAGTGTTCAGGTACAAGTAGATAAGCTAACTTTGATTCAGTGTTCTCCTTCAGCCGATGACCCTTCAATGGCGAAAGGGCCTCCTAATAATAATTGCCGATTCATGAACTATATTCCTGAAATTGGCAAGTTATATTGTGTATGTGATACCACCTTATTGAATAAACACTAGCTAACTCTTGATCAAGTGCACTGGGGAAATCAACTGATATAATGATAACAATTTTATAAGAAGCGTGGAATTTAGAAGTAAAAATAGATTATCTATTTTAATGACTATAACAGAGTGTGTTTTGTATGCTAGGCATCTAGTTGTTAGAAGTGCGCTTGCCCCGCCAGATAAGCTACAAGCGCTTCTAGATGCTTTTTGTGCAACTACTCCCTAGTCAATGTTCTTAGTTATGTTTGCTTCAAGCGATTTCCAGCCCTAACTTTCTGACTTACTAAGGTCACTTTAATTAGAAACTTTGAGAGCAATTATCAAGATAGGCTAGACTTTATAGTTGAGTGCATTCTAACAGTGCTAGGACAGCGGTCTGTCAACACAAATGTAAGGGGCTGCGCTCCTGGGAGCAATCGCGAGGTATACAAGAGATTGTATTTAATAGAAAGCTAAGCTACTAGGCTACGCAGCTATCTATATACAAACTAATTATCTAAGTAGTAATTAGGCTTGTAAGGTTTAGGCATACGTAGTAACGCCTAGTCTTGCGGCTATCGCCTGAACACCGTCCAGGCGACAAGCAGAGAACCTGCATTAACCGAGATTCCATTGAGGAGCCATTTAAAGGGCGTTGAGCCCGCTACAAGTTAATCGTTACCAAACCACAAGTTATCTCCTTATTACCTACCTTTATCTATTATTACCAAGATGCTACATTATCTTAGCTTCTATATTCTTCATACGCTAGTTATTTTTTTTATATGAAGAAAGTATTGCTTTATTTCCCCTTTGAACGATACTTTCTTTACACTCTTCACTCTGCGGAGTTAAAACATAAATCCGCTCGGGACTACTTATGAAATGCCAGCCTGTCACCCAAGATAGAGCCAATAACAATTGCAAGTTTTTCATAAATACAACCTCAACGCGAAGCGGACCTATACTAGCGAATTAAAGAAGAGGTCAGTACTCCTAACGTACCATCCAAAAGACTCCAACGGTAGCCCCACATATAACTTGAAAAAAAAAGCCGTAAGCGCAAAATATGTAGCGGGCAGCCAGAACATAAAGTACGAAAGACTACACGACAAGGTTAGAACACCTGTTGTATCGATTCGGCTCCACCTATCGCTAGGTATGCCTATAATTAGTCTTCTGACTGCAGTACCTACGTTTGATAAACTAATTCTATCCATAGCCTAGGCTCTAGTAAGGCCTATACCTAGAGCAAAGTTAGCTAAGGAGAAAAGAAGGACAATCCATCCCATCATGCTAGTGAAAACGTATATAAGTAGCAAGAATACTTTATATCGCTGCTAACTGTACTTATGATTGCTACTGTACTTTATATCTAGAAAATCTCAAAACCATCTCTTCTAGTCTTGTTAGGTCTACCTTAGCCTCTCCTAGTCAGCACCTAATATATATAAGCCCCACGATTGTTAGAGATACTCTCTAGAAATTCGTCTAAGTTCCAATGGAATCTATTTGCTAACAATTACCTTACTATTGCTTGTACTGTATCTTTTCTAATCAAGTTGGGAGGGTTTTGGCTCGTCTAACCACTTGCCTAATCCAAACATTTGTCAGATTCGATCTGCATGAGCTGCCATCAAAATCCCTACGACGTTCTTATGTGTAAGGCCAACAAAGCTCTGACAAAGGCTGTTTTGGGGGGGCGACGAAGAACTCATCGAGTGGAAAAAGGGAAGTGATGGGTCAGACTGCCTCAAGTGCGGGGTGCCGACTGAGAAAGTGTTTCGTTGCAATCACATGGATTGTATATTGTCTCGGATTCACATCTGCTGTTTCTGCATGGTGACCTTTGGTAGTGGGGTGAGACCTATGAACACATGGGGCGGACACATGGCAACATTCAGTAAGCTAGAACGGTTCAATGTAGGTGGCGAGTCAAGAGTGTAAATTGGGTCTTTTGCTATTCGGTAACTTTAACCGGTGATAGCTGCTTATTCTTATAACCAAATACGATGATGGGAAGTCTTTTGGAACACAGTCATTAGCTCTTCCAAGGCCCTATCAAGTAAATTATTCAAGATCATCCACTATATCTGCTTATTTCATAATATGTCTGAGACACATTGTGTGTATACATAGCATTCTTTCACCAAGGCCAATCCGTGTGCTGGAAGTGTGCCTTCACACTTTAGCCCCACATATTGTGTACTCACAAAGTCAAGCGTCTATCTACGATATATGCAATAATGATCGTGGCTGACTTCACTTATAATTTCACTAGAATAGTTCCATAATCCATCATTGACCCTCAAAGAACCAAAGCAAAACATCATCAAATATCTCCAAGGAATAGGAAAGGCATTATCGCGTTCTCGAAATCACTTCATAAGATCAGGGAAACAATGCAGGGATTTTCATATCCAGCTTACAGTACAGTTCTAGTCACTGAACATACCACTGTATATGCAACAGATGCTCCTGAGACCACAAGCACGTATGTTGCCGCCTCAACGACAAATGTAGCATCAACGACCACTGATGACTCTTCAACGGTTACACTTTCATCAATGCCTAGAAGCTCAAGAACGACAGATGTCCCTTCAAATCCCACTCCTTTGTCAACATCTGTAACCCCGACAACGACTGATAGCCCTTCAACAGTTACTCTTTCATCAACATCTACAGCTTTGCAGACAACGCCACCAGTCTCTTCTGCGACCGCTATTCAGCCCGTTTCAACTGCTCCTCCTGAGGCAGCTTCTAGTACACCAAAGACCGACGACGCCTTTGCCTATGCCGTTTTAGCAGTCATCATTCTGCTAGCAGCCCTGCTAATCGTGATGCTTGCCGCCCTGCTCTGTTTGCGCAGCAAAGGAAAATGCCCCAACTGTCGTAAGATGCAGAAGCAGCTTGAGAAGTGGGAGTCTGGTAAGCTGAAGCCTGTTACTCCAGACATGGCCAAGGAGAGTGAGGCACACAATGGGTTGTCCTCGCAAGACAATGCCCCCTCTGAGTTGGATGTCGAACTGGGTGGCGCACATGAGCATGAGGAGAGCAAAAAGCCATCGACTTGGCAAAAGGTAAAGAGCAATATCTTGCGCGATAAAAAGCCGTCGGACACAACGCAGAATCCGTATGTCGAGCCTGAAGCTAATCGCCCCTTCAGCGCCGCTGAGGGCGACACAGTTCACAACTACCCAGATAATTTGCTCCGAGTCTCGCCAGAAGCGCCGAGGGTAGAGTACGAACCTAACACCTTTCTCACAGTACCTGAAGCCTATCGCTTCTCAGGCTCCTCCTTCTACTCTTCCCCTACAGGCATCCAGCGCGCCAACGGCCGCGAATCACGCGTCTTTGCCGAGGTCCCAGTCGCCCAGCCCAAGCGCTACACGGCTGACGGAAACCAGGAAATCATGCTCGCTCGGGAAGCTCTTCAGTCCGAAGAGTACAAGCGAGCGGAGACGATTATGAAGCGCGGGACGGCTAGGGATAGTGTGATCCACCGCGCGACGAGCATCGTTAATCTGGCGGATCAACAGCTTAATGTTGCGCGCCATCCGTCTTTGTATCCCGAGTTTCGTGGCTCGGAGCCGCCTGAGCAGTATGAGATGGTTGAATGGCGTAAGGGGGGAACAAGGGACTTTGTTTAAATGATGACCTTTATGGTTCGTAATGGATTGCAGGGTGGACAAGTGGTAGGTGAGAAAATAGCACGGCAATGACTTTTCCATAAGTTTTTATCGATTTTGCAGTGCAATAGTGAATGGCTATCGTTTTTCCTGATTTAATAGCACATAAATATGACTTGTTGATGAATTTGCGAGTTGTAGAATGCGTAGTAATCAAATTATGTGATGTGTAGCATGTACTTAATTACCATCTCTCCATCGGCAAAACAGCAATACCGTCTCTTGCACATATGTTGGTGCTTCCATTTAATCAGAGTTTTTGGCGATGGTAAAGGTTGCGGCAAGTCTGTAAATTGATGGCTGTTGTGGCTTGACATCTGGAAGTGGAAGCCACAGAGGGTCTGCGGAAGCCACGCGCTACTAGGCTCCCGCCCATGTCCTCATCCGTTTCTTTCCTACGCTCGCATCCACAAACGACTCCGACATGGGCATCACCGATTCGATTGGAACAATATTATCCTTTATCAGCTTACTATGGGTACCAGCCACATTGCTTTGTTGCTTGCCATGGGTGCAGAAACGTCAGGATTCACGAGACACAAGCTGAAGCTGATTCACGCTGACAGAAACAGAAATGCTGTACCTCCACAACATCACTTTCTTTCCTGGGAAATGGTTGACTGAACCCGAAAGAGCCGGGTATCTCAGTACGTCCTACATGCCCATGCCAGCGCCAAGCAGTAATGTATATACTCACGGACGCAGAAAACCAGGTTATACCCTTTCGCATTGCAACGAAAGACAAACATGAACTGTTTGCATGGCTTGTTGCACCACTCGGTGTTTATGCGAAGAACGAAAGTACTTTCGTTGAAGAAAAGACCGGCAGCAAAGTAGAGGACACAGTAGCTTGGAAATCACTATGCAAGGACCCAGAAGCAAGGCTACTCATCTACTTTCACGGCAACTCTGCAACCTTGGCGCAGGAGCGTCGAACAATCGAATATCGATCATTCTCCGCCGGTGCATCAGACAAAATATTCGTGCTAGCATTTGACTACCGCGGCTTCGGCCTCTCCAAGGGAGAGCCGTCGGAATCTGGGTTGCTGGACGACGCAGAAGCAGTTATAGATTGGGCATTAAACAAATGCCACATACCCCCAAAGCGAATTGTGCTTCTTGGTCATTCATTAGGAACAGCGGTAGTGTCTGGTATCGCACACCGTTACGCGGCTAACTCGGGCATTGAATTCGCATGTCTCATTCTGTGTGCAGCATTTACTAATGCTGGCAATGCATTTTCATCGTACTCTATTGGCGGAGTAGTTCCAGTGCTGGCGCCAATCAGGATCTTCCCTGCATTTCAGAAATGGTTCGCGCAGAGAATGGTCTGTACATGGCGTACCGACGATCGACTTGCGGCCATGGCGCGTAAGTTGAGCCAATTTCCTGTGGCACACGTCGTCTCGCCAAGTCTCACCATCATGAGATGCTGGAGCCGAGTTTTCCGTCGCTGACGACAGCTTAGGAACTTGTTCAAGGTTCAATCTGGTCTTGGTACACGCCGAAAGTGACTCGACCATGCCATGGCACGAAACAGAAGCTCTTTTCCAATCAACTCTGCGGGCCGCCAAGGACGCGAGCCCAGATGACGAAAACTTCAAGGCGGTCGAAGTTGTTGACTTGGGTGAAGCGGGCAGGCGAGAAATATGGCGCAGCGACTCACGCAGTATATCCAAGACGATTGCAAAGCATGGAGGTACGTACACACACTCAGCCTCGCCTCGCCTCGCCTCAGGCTCAGACTGTGGGTGTCGGCGTCTAGACAGCAAAGGCGTTTCGCCTATTGCTGGAACGGGCGCCCCACATCCGTCTGACAAGTTCGCGACGCAGACACGGTCCTTCATTTTATGGCTGCAACGACCGTTTGAGGCTCATCGGAAGAGAGTCGAGGCGGAGTGTGCTGGCCTTGGATTCGATGCCTGAGTGCGCGCACGGCAGACCCTTTCCCCACAGATTGATGTTCTCTGGCCAGGGCCTGGCCCTGCATCCATGTTGTCATCGCCGGGTCTTCCGAGTCCGGTAGCGAAAACCAGGGCTAACGCTACGCTACAGGCCACAATACGTCAATGACCTGGTCACCTGTGGCGCTCACCATCCTTCAGGCTTTTGGCCTCGCGGCTGGTACGGCACGCGGGTAGCGTCATGCCTGACAACGGGAGATCCCCTATATCCTCGCTATTTCTGTAACAACAACAACTACTCCGTGCACGCAGGCAATTTCTGCGCCACTAATTTGAAGGGATTGCACCGTGTCGAGATAGAGCACTGCTACGGCTTCAGTGAATGACGAGTTGGGCTCGGCGACAGCTGGACTACTACTTGGAAGACTTGGATCTACACCTCGCGCGTAGTAGCGTATAGTTAGTACGTAAACGCCACAGTGTCAAAAGGCTCGGCATAATGGCTATATGCGTCATGTTCACCCTCGATGCCCCATGACGTTTCCGAGAGTGGGCTCCTTTGAGACCCGCATACAAAGCGCTTCATCGGCAAGTGCAATACCTTTGTGTTTCAACTTCCATCCACTTTCACAGGTGATTACCACCTTGCACCCCTCGCTGCTCGAACGTTGTGCACCCATTCCCGTCCAGTCGTTTCTATAGCAATCTGACCATAACCCCCACTGTGACTGTTCGTTCGCATTAGCACACCACTCCTCCCTGTGGCCAGAAAATACATCGACTGCCTCATTTGAACACAGTACGACCACTATGCCTGCCATCAACCACCTTGAAGCGCGCTTTCTGGGAGGGACCAGCAGTGGTGGCCCAGCAATCACAGGAACCGCCATCGCCCTTATCATCTGCCTCGGAATCATACCCACCATCGCCGTCATATGGACCGTCTGCTATCTCTTCTGGGCCTATCCATACGACCGCAACTGGTGCTGCATCAAGCGAAAGCGACGCCCGGAGCCGCAAAGTGTGCTGAACCAGGCGCCCATGAGCCAGGTGCCCATGAGCCAGGAAGCACTGTTCGAAAAGCAGGGCATGGGACTCCCCCAGCGGCCGTTTGCTGCTCAGATCAGAACGGACTCTGGAAGTTCTAGCAACAGCGGGCGTCTCCAAAAACAATATAGGCCGGGAAGCGCAAACTACAAAAGGGATACCAGGATGAGCCTGCAGAGCGTAACCAGTGCCAACTCTGTGCCGTTTGCGCAAGAGCCCAAACCGTTTGTATGAGAGAACTCAAGACTGGCGTAATGTTTAATCAGTACATGCGCATACGGCTGGCCGAATGAAGGCGCTGGTTGCTCGGAACTGGGAGTTTAGATCTCTTCGTCTGAGGACATGTTACTGGAAGTCAAGTCTGCATGACAGCGTTACAACGCAGAATACCAGCCCTCAACACGCAACAAGAAATACCAGATTGAAAATGGACAAATCACATCTGGCGGTCTACCACATTCTAGCACGAGAGCTTCACCGACAAAGAGGTTTGTTGGATTCCATGGCGCATTTTACCACAGCACCATAGAAAGAAGAAATATGCGTCGAGCGATAGCAAATGCTTTTGACGGCAAGCGGAGAGAGTGTAAGAATACAAGGGAACCAAGGGTGCTTACTGTACACTACATGCATGCGGGACATTTGCATTGGGACCGGCGTTTTTGTTTCTTCCTATTCGCATAGGGCGGGATACCATATCACGATGTACATGACAAAGCAACAATACATACATACAAACTGTCCCGGCTACTTTTGTCAACTTGTGCCTATGACGAGTGCGTAGACGGTGAAGAGTCTAGGCAAAGGGGTGGATGCCGCCAAAGGAACGCCTCGGTCATCGGTGTGGTGGATCAGGGGAATGTGATTGGCGGGGGGCGGTAGTGCGCGCGGTCAGGCAGGTGAGGAGGCTCAAGTGACTTTTATCGATGGTGCCTTGGGCAATGGCACATGGCATTCTGAACACCTGTTTCTCTGCTCGCCTCGTTGCCAAGACTGACTTACATACCTGGCTTGCTCACCCCAGCCCTTATATGATACACAAGTGTACTACTACTACATACTCGGTGTGACGGGGGCGGGCTGATAATTCGCCCGACGTCTTGGTCGATACGGGCCGGTGTTCACTATCTCCGGGTCGCAATCTCCATTCGCCATCCGCACTCGTCCAGGGAGCGTCGACGTCAGCACTTCGCCCCAATTTACTTCATCGCAGTCAGCGCCTCAGTGCGCTCTGCGACACCACAAATACCGCAATCATACCGCCACCTACTTTGAGTTCGCGCCTGCGGACTTTTACTACATCAAAGACTCCCCTGTCTGCATACACGGTGCGCTTGCGAATGCTCAGGTCCTATCTGGCACGACCAACCGCACGCAACGTGCTTCACAAGAGCGTTGGATTTGGCGGCGCAAGTTATATCAGTCTGAGCCTCAGCACTCCCATTCGTATCGAAAGCAAAGCGAATTCCACCATGGCGGCCGCGGATCATGCAGAAGGCGCCCAGGGAGGCCAGCAGAGCATGTTGGCGAGCCAGCGCGCAAAGGAGCAGGGAGAGGCACAACAAGGCCGCTTCTCCAAATGGTTCCCGCTGTCAGCAAAGGCAGGCTTCGAGCAGTGGTGGGCTGGCCTCTCTCCCATGGCAACCGAACACCGCGTCCTCTCCTTTATCCCCCACCTCCAGAGCCCACCGACACACACGCAAACAGGCACCGCCTCAGGCTCTGCGGTGCCTTCGTCCGTCGACCTGCATGCGCCACCGAAACACCCTGAGGACCACACCACGACCACTGCGGCCAACGACCCTTATGGCCCACGACGATGGAACTCGCAGATGGTTGCGCTGAGTGGCAAGGATCGTGCGCTCAATGAGTTTTCTGTCGAGCGGCTGGGCGAGGAGGTGGAGAACAATCTGGTCATGTTGCATGGCTACGGTGCTGGGCTGGGCTTCTTTTATCGCAACTTTGAGGCCATGTCGCGTGCCGAGGGTTGGAAGGTCTATGCACTGGATCTGCTAGGCATGGGACGAAGTAGCCGGCCGCCGTTCAAAATCCATGCCAAAGACAAGGAGGGCAAGATTGCAGAAACCGAGTCGTGGTTCGTGGATGCGCTCGAGGAGTGGAGGATCAAGCGAGGGCTGGAGCGCTTCACACTGCTGGGCCATAGTCTGGGTGGATACCTGGCCGTGGCCTACGCATTGAAGTATCCGGGCCATCTGAACAAGTTGATCCTGGCTTCCCCTGTGGGCATACCAGAAGACCCATATGCAGTAGACGAAGAGATGCCTGGACCCCGGGATTCAACCATGGCAAACGAGTTTACCCAGGACGCTGCCGAGACGAACCAAAGCGGGGTACAAGCGTCAACGGCGGATAAAAACAATTTCATGAACCAGCAAAAGGGAAAAGGTACGTTGAGACCAGGGTTGGTGGCGTCAGCACACAACTAACATGTCCCAGCCCCAGCAAAAGACGGCAAGGAGCCACCCAGACGACGTTTACCATGGTGGCTGTATTCACTCTGGGAAGCAAATATGGTATCCCCCTTTACCTTTGTCCGCTGGTCAGGGCCTCTTGGACCGCGTCTTGTGTCGGGATGGACATCACGCCGGTTCTCACATCTGCCCGAAGAGGAAGCGCAGGCACTGCACGACTACAGCTATGCTCTGTTCCGCCAGCGTGGTAGTTCAGAGTATGCGCTGTCATACCTCCTAGCCCCCGGTGCATTTGCCCGCAGCCCTCTGATTCGGAGGATACAGGGCGTAGGGCGGCAGTGGATACAAGCACATGACACGCCTTCTGTGGATGGCGATGCCCCACCAAACCAATCTGCAGGCTCTGAACCGGCTGCGCAGCGCGAGAAGGGTTTCCCTGTCATCTTCATGTACGGCGAGAATGACTGGATGGATGTTGCGGGCGGGTTCGCTGCTGAGGAGAAGATGAAACAGGAGCGTGAACGCATACTAGCAAAGGCATCGCCCGAGGAGAAGAAGCAAGACCACGGCATTGCCAAGGTTATCATCATCAATAAGGCTGGTCACCATGTGTACCTGGACGGGTGGGAGCAATTCAACCGGGTGATGCTAGAGGAGATGGAGGAAGTCAGGCGGAGAGAACAGGAACGAAGACGCGGATAGAATTGGGTGGATAGATGGATGTGCATAGTACTGGGCGTTTGGAGGTTGGGTTGTCAACCGCTTGGCGTTTGGTTAGTAGAGTCGAGCCTCTCCAACGGCAGGCATGACAATGTTAGCATAGTGTTTTTTTTTTTTGCTTAGATGCAGTCAACTCGTGATGGGTGGTGTGTGTTGAGACTCCGCCCGGGTGGACGGTACCCCTCCCATGGCCGGCGGGCGCAGAGATGATCTCCTCACATGAGGCCCTGCATGCAGTCTGCCCCGGCCCCGTCCCGTCCACGTCTTGATCTAGTGCATGGCCTAGGACGTGTCACCTCAGACCGTCGAAGCCTCCCAGCCCGGCCTGCCTATACGATGCTAGGCGTGGTGGGGTAGACAGACAACGGTGCCAGCAATCCTAGTCTTCACCGCTCCCGGCTAGGCCAGCGGCTGCATCCTCCCATGCCACCCGAGTCGCGCATACACGACACCCTCTGCCTCTCTCTCTCGTTCGATATGAGCACGAGACCCTTGCATCTTCACATGAAAGTCACAAACCCAGGGACGCGTTCTCCCGGCACATATATCGCCATGCAATAGCGCTCTGCCCTTGCTGCTACTACAACTCTCGGCTCCTGTGCCTCGGGCCTCACATGTCATCGCCAGACGCAGACGCAGTCGACGTCACAGAAGCACGCCACGGACGGTGAACCACACACGCAAAATGGCGAACCAGACGCTGGACCAGATGGTCAAAGGCGCTCCGCCGCCCAGCACAAACGTAAACAAGCTCGCCGAGAGCATGGAGAGAGACCCGCCGCCATACTCGGCCTCGATACTCGCACACGGCCCCCACGACGCAAACGACCGACTCCCTACCATCAAGACCCCGCGACCGCCCGTCATTAGCGACCCCACGGCCCTCCTTCCGTCGTCTCCGCCGCAGATATACTTGAATCTCCTCATCCTAGAAGCCAGTCTGCGCAGCCAGTACCTCACCCTCCGCGCGCGGCGCCGACAAAACACTTTTGTGCTTACGCTGCTGGCGGTATGGATAGGCTTCTGCTTTTACCTGCTGTGGCTACGGCCGCGAGAGGACGGCAAGGGAATTGGTGGTTCACAATACTGGCTGCTTGATATGTTGCAAAAGGTCGGCTTCATCACGGGTGTGGTTACGGCCCTTTTGTTCTGGGCAACGGGACAATGGGAGAGAGGAGTCCGATGGCCACGACGCTGGATTGGTGTTGCCAACCGCGGGCTGAGGGGAATGAATGCCAAGATTGTCGTCATAAGAGGGCCGTGGTGGAGAGAATTGGTCGAGTGGGCGCACTTTGTTGTGCCCTTCTCCGGTGGCCTATGGGGCGGAGAGACGGGAGGAAGCTCATATCACTTTATCAATGTTGCACAGGAGAACAAGCATGCGTTGGACGGAGGCCGCCCACGACACCGTATAGTCGAGGATGGCAAGGAGTATGCCGAGGAAGACATTGCGCCTGGAGGAGACTACATCAAGCTTCTTCTTTTACCGAAGCCATTCACACCCGACTTCCGCCAAGAGTGGGAAGTCTACAGAAACGAATACTGGGCCACCGAAAACGAGCGACGAGCCGAACTCCGCAAGCGCGTCCGCGCCCGCCAACGCGAAATCGCCCGCGAAGAAGGCGGCTGGCTCTGGTGGACTGGCTGGCGCGGATGGAAGCGTGCACGCGGCCTCAGCAGCCGCAGCGCCGACGTCGAGAAATCCGGCCACCACACCCACGCCCACCACCGCACCCTCTCGCACACCGGCTCCTCCCGCAAGCGCCGCTCCAGCCTCCTCCAGCCAACCCGCAACAGAGACCGCTCCCACTCCCGCAGCTCCTCCCGCAGCATCACCCCTACCACCACCGACCTCGACATCGACGCCCGCCTCCGCCCCCTCGAATCCCGCGAGCGCCGCTGGAGCAACGCCTCCAGCAGCACCACTGCGAGCCGCAAGTCGTCCCTCCGATCCAGCTCTACGATTATCGCCCAAGGAACGGCGCAATCCGCTCGTCAACCCCCCTCCCCTATACAAAAGCAATCATCGACTTCGTCGAGACCGAGTACACCCAGTGATGGCAATGTACCTTCTTCTTGGCAGAGTAAACGAGCCAGTATGCTGAGCAATACGGAGAGTATGAGCGAGTTGAGTGAGGATCCGGGGTATGAAGCGTCGGTTGGTGAAGGGATGGGTAGAAGTGGTGGAGGGAGGAGGGGAAGTGGGAGGGCGGAAAGTGCATGATTTTCATTTTTACCCTTTTTTTTCATGTTTCCCTCCCTTTATCATCATCATCATCGTCCTCATCTTTTGAGATTTTTTGATGGGGGCGTCGTTTGAGATTTGTGTTTCTTTTTTTTTGTACAGTTATGAAAAGCGTTTTGTTTCCTTTGGAGAGAGAGAGAGAGAGAGGGAAAGAGAGAAATTATGTAGGTCTACATGGGGCACTTATGTTCTGGCATGTTTTTTTTTTCACCAAAATGATATCTTTTTTTCATTCTTCTCTTAACTTTGTTTTTTTTTACTCTTCTGCATAGTTTGGTATCTTCATCTAGCTACACAGAGTATTGTACAAGAGAGTAGTTGTAGAAGGTGTTGTAGTGTTACAATTCTTTTTTTTTACTGCTGTCAAGAGTAATTAAAACCTCGAATACATGTTTGCATGTTTGAAGTGCTGGGACTGGAACGGGATGGGTAGTACGTCATTTCAATTTTTATATAGCGTATATCAATGGTCTAAAAGCCAGGTCTTTCAACAAATCAACAAGGCCGGTTGGCGCAATGGTAGCGCGCAGCCCTCCTAAGGCTGAGGCTGTGGGTTCGAGTCCCACATCGGTCGCTTTCTTTTTTGTCTATTTGTTTCCATTTCATTTCCATGGTTGAATTTTTTTTTTGGTCAGGGCAAGAGGGAAAATTTGATCGGGGCGGGGTGGAAATAGGTGGGGTGATGTGGGGGTGGTGGCTGAGCTTGGACGTTTTTTTTGGAGATGTGTGGAAGGATGGGATGGGATGGGATGGGATACTTAGTGAGAATGGAGAAGAGTAGAGTCACGGGTTTGAAAGTGGATTTATATTTTGTAGGTTGAGCTTAGAATGGGGGGGTGTAGGAATTAGATTAATTGGAGTAACGGAGGAGATATTTTTCTGCCTTTCTACTTCATCGATCAAACTCAATTCCCAACTATACACATTTCTTTCCTGATCCCGCTCCCCCCCCTTCCTCCCATGTCGTCCTAACAGTTACCCCATTAGACAACCGTTAACATTCCCACGATTTTTTCTTTCTTTCTTCGCAGGATGCATGGCTAAGTTTCCACACCGCTAAACGGGCTTGGACGAACAAGCAAACATCGTGGCAGGAGAATACGGACCGGTGTAAATGTGGATTTGTATTCTTTAGTTATTGCGAATAAGGAAACGCTTGTTTATGGAGACAGTTTATTGGGTTGGATTGGGTTGGGTTGGGGGGATCTAAAACTTGCTCTCTATGTAGTGGCGGGCTGGAGTTGTTGTAAGCACCATAAGCTTACTATTAGAGTTCTTTGTGGCGTAAGAGAATTCCGGCGGCGCGGTAATTGCTGTATGTGGAGTTTTCCGGGGCGGGTTGCTCGTGTCATTTGGTGCGGAGATGAGTGAGAGCAGTGTGTACTTGGCGTTCTGCGACGTTGTTATTCTTCAGGCGACTCGGGGTTTGTATCTTGCGATCCGTTGTCTGTATGCTCTGGTTCTTGGTGGTCCTGTGTCTTTTGAGGGTGTTGAGGCTCCTGCTCTGTCTTGTGCGGGCCTGTCTTTTGCGGCTTCTGAACGATGTGTTCCTGTTCCCGGTCCTTGTCTACAGAATGTTTTTCCGGTTCTTTGTCTTCAACCGTCGGTTGTGTCTCTTTGTTTGCATCTTGCAAATCTTGATCTCTTTGTGCCTGCGGTTCCTGGATTTCTGGCGTCTTTTGTGGTTCTGGAACTACTTGCTGTTGCAGCTGCTCGGGTCTTGGTACTGGCTGTTGTGGCTGCTGGATTCCTGGTACTTGCTGCGGGGACGCCCGAAGTCCTGGTATTTGCTGCGGTAGCTCTTTGGATACGTGCTGTGGTATCTGATGGATCTGCTGCGGCGCCTGGTAGACTTGATGCGGTGCCTGGTGAATTGGCTGTGGTACTGGATGGATGTGTTGTGGCACTTGATAAATCTGCTGTGGTACCTGCTGAAGGTGTTGTGGAAGCCCCTGGTGTGGGTGTTGCGGCACTTGGTGGGCTTGCCCTGGTAGCTCATGATGGTATATTTGTTGTGGCACCTGGTTGACATGTCCTGGCAAATGATGGCCATGGTATACTTGCTGCGGAACTTGCTGAAAATGTTGTGGGTGATGCTTTACGTTCTGTAGACAATGATCTATGTCTTTAGGCATGCCTCTGAAACTGTCCGGTCTGTTTTTGATACTTTTTTGCCCATTACTAGGACTTTGCACCCCGTGCTGCAACTCGAGTAGTCTGCTGTTCAAATTTTGCAGCCCATCTCTGAGTTCCTGCACCTCCTCCTCTGACGCTGGTTTTTTCTTAGGTCGACCAGTCTTCTTTCGTGGTGTTACGGGTCCGCTAAGCACGTATGTCACTTGGCGAAGTTTGAAGCCAAGATGGTCTGCTATCCATTGCTGTTTAAGACCAGCTTTCCATAATGTATGGATCCTCAACCGATCATCCCTAGTCAGAGGAGTGGTGCGGCGACGTTTAGGGGTGCCAGGCTGTTCTATGAGGGGACTTGATTGTTCCATGGTCGCGGTTTGTCAAGGTCTAGTAGTATAAGTGGAGTTGAAATAGAATAGAGAGTCGCGAGGTGGCGAGAATAACCAGGTTGGGGCTGACTAAACCTGTTTACCAGATCGACAAAGCTTGGGCGTTTTCATATCCGTAATACCGCCGATGATATTGTACCACCACCATGTTTTAGACATTGGCATCCTTAGGTCCTTCATTTCGTGGAAGCTGTGACATAAGATCTGCCCAGTTATTCGTCTCATGTTATCATGTAAGTCCAATTCTGCAGTGAAATAAACAATGAATACTATGAGTGCTTCTAAGTCAATGTACATTGAAAGTCAGCCTTTCCGAGGTCGACAGTACAAAACTACAAAACAATATCTGGAGCACCACATTTATAAAATAACTCTACTCTTTAGCTGCTATAGATTACAATCACTGGAGAAAAGGCTCTATAGAAATTAGGAAAAAGATTTGTAGATCGCAAAAAATGGTGTTATCCTAAGGGAATTATTTCAGCTTAAATAACATATCCGAATGTACATTTGTTCATACAGTCATTCCAGCCGCATTATTGGATTGCATTCACCCTTTCGTGTCTAGAGCCAAACGCCTGTCGTCACAGATGCACAGATATGAGAAAAAGAGGAATATCCCTCTCCAGCCGTGGAGGAACCAAATATGCAAAACACAGACCCTAAAGCTGCTGTGAGGCTAGAAGCTAAGTGAAAAAGAAAATCCTACTATTCTCCTCGATCGAGTTAAATTGTAAAACCCCCTAAAAAGGGTATCGTTGAAATGAAACGCCAAAAGAAGAAATCTAAAACACTACCTCCCGCCCTTACTTGTGCTGAACCTCCTTTGCATCGCCATCGTAGGGCTGCCCATAAAACTTCCCCGTGGACTCCGGCTGGCTGCTGGCATGAGCGGTACCTTGGCCATTCCGAGTTTAGTTTCGAAAATGCGCCCCACAAGGGCCTGCACGCTGCGCTGCAAGTCTGGCGCCATCTCAGTGCCCAGGAGCCCGACTACAAGAGGCGCGAAAAGATCAATGTTCTTTTCAAAGTCGGCGTTAGGAAGACCGGTGTAGCCGTCCAGCACGGTGACAACAACAGGTCGCCAAGTGACAATGTTGCGCTGCTGGGTTTCTTCATCAAGCTCCACATAAGACGCGATGATGTCTTCGCATAGGGGAATCAGCGCAGCTTCAGTATCTGCGCGCGAGGCAGCGCGGTCGTTGGACGTGTCGTGATACATCCGGAAGAGAATGCTGACGTAGACCGACGCAGATCCACTTTCCTGCTTGAGCAAATTCGGCGGCTGCTTCATAAAACCTTCTCTGAAGAGTCGGGACCGCAAATCGCGGTTCGCATTAAATCGCTTTGCAAAGTGGTAGGATTTCTTTAGTACGGCCATGAGACGCAAGAGTTCTCCCGAGGGGATCTTTTCGTAAACGGCGTCGTTGGTGAAGAGCTCTTGTACAGTCTCAATCATGAGCAGTTGAAGAACACACTTGGTTATGATTTGATTGAAGAAACGCCGGCGGGCGGCGGTAACCACAACAGGAGGCTGCTGGAGGTCTTGTCCTTCAGGACGATAGTCCTCAAGCTCTTGTGTTTGACGTTTGGGTAGCGGAGAGGGCATACGTTGCTCGCCGCCAAGGGTGCTGGTAGACTCTGAGGCGACAAGGGGTGGCTGCTGTGCATTTGACAGACCGTTGATGCCAAGCGCGTTGTCTACCTTTGGCTCTTCCGCAGGTGTCTGTAGGGATAGCTCGCCTGTTGGCCCATCTGTTGTTGGTGTCATGCTGTCTGCCGAGTTTCCGGATCCGTTCACTGGAGGATGCTGTGGTGATGATCCGCTGGTGGCTGCAGAGAATAATGCAGTAGCCTCTGTCCTTTGGAAGAGATCGACGAACGCCCTCACAACCTGGCTCCAGTGGCCTGGCGTGAATTTTTGGACGTTTTGCAGTATAAGCTGCTGGAGACAATTACTGCCAATGCGCGCCAATGTGTCATTCTCTTGACATATACAAAGTGCCAGAAGATCGAGGAAGCGGTCGAGCATGTACTCTAAAGAATCGAAAAAGTGAGTAAAAAGCTTAATCATGTTGCGCAGAGCCTGAATCATGGTTGTGGAAAGCCAGACGGAAAGCTCTTCGTGGTTCAAAACCTTTGTCATCTCCGACTTGGATTTCAATACCATGAAGATTGGGTACAGCAGCTGCCGCCAAAGCATGTCCCAAAATTCACGAGGAAAGTTGTTGCCGTAGCTGATCAGAGTGTCAAACAGGTAGCTCAGGGCTCTTGACCGCACTTCCAAGTCCTCGCCAGTCATCAATACATCGTGGAAAGCAAAGAGGACCGGGAACCAGAACTGCTCTTCCTGCGTTTGCCGGCTGGGCTGTTTTGGTATGGAAGAGGTCGTTTCGGATTCTTTCAAGTAGCCAGCGCGAGCAGACAATGAACATTCAGGTGTCCGGAGCATTTTGGGTACAGACGACTTCAAAAGTTCTATCGCCTGGAGTGACTTCTTCTGGAACTTGAAATTCTTTGAGAACTCGGTAAGGCAGACGATCAGGTCAGCAAAAGCACCTTGCGATATGACGACACCAAAGCGTGTGTTGTACACTTGAGTGACGTTCTCAAATGCAAGGTTGACGATGCCCTCTGCTTTTCGTTAGCGACTATACATGATCTGAACCGATTTCAACATACCGTAAGGCTCTCTCGCAGCCACAGTGAAGACACCAAACATAGTTTTCCAACCTGAGCGAATGTTCTCACCCCGTGCCTGGATCATCTGGATTAAGCAGCGTAGTACCATGTCTTTGACGGACACGACATTGGTGTTATTGATAATGTGCTCAAAAGGCTTCAAAAAGTCTTTCTGGAACTTGAATCCAGGCAATTCCTCAATCTCCATAAACTTCATCGACAGCTGCCGCAGCGAGTTGAGAGCAAAGTAGACGACGTTGGTGTTGGTATGGCAGCCCACGTCGTTGAAGTGGGCGCCCAGTACCTGCCAGATATTGGTCCACTCAAAACGTACACGCGTCATGTTGTAGCCACTGATTTCTACCAACTTTTGCAAACTGTACGTGCGTGGCGACTCGCTCTGACCAGAGGATTGGATTTCCTGCCAGCTGACCTGAGTGAGCGCTTTGACAAAATCGACAATCGCTTCTCCCGACAGATTTGCGCTGTTGGTGAAGATGCGGTCTACTCCTCGAACAATTTCGGCAGACCGACTTTCCTCAGCCACCTCCGAATGGAAGCCGAAATTGCCTGCTTGCGAGTTTGCTCGTCGGCTTTTCCCTGGGACGTTGAGGTTTTTGCGCGGCTGCGAGGTTCCTGAGCTGGACTTGAGCACATCGGGAACGGCGCGCTCGTCGATACCAGCAGAGATGAGCTGGAAACGATCCAGTTGAGACACGCAGGTGAGTACCTCGCGCCATGATTCTCGGAGTAGGTTTCCCTCTGTCTGTGCAATTTCGATTAATGCTTTCAGAGCCTCCATATTCCTGACCTTCATCTCGCTCACGTTGTAGAGGTTCGTGAAGCGTGAGAGGAACGCGACGAAAGCTTGTCGCGAGTTATCCAGGTCAAACAGACATGAAATACGAATCGATAGCTTGATGCCCTCAATGCACAAACGAATAATTTCAATGTTGTGATCCTGGGCTTGGCCAGAGAGAGCGGTGAGGACAGGCATCCAGGCGACTTCGAACATTGGCCCGACATGTTTTGAGGATGAAGCAGGAATAAACTTGGATACAGTGGGAGTGGCGGCTGTTCTCCGCTGAGCACGAAGGAGTTGTTTGTAAAGCTGCTCAGTTTTATTGGCCATTGCTTCTGAAGCCTGAACAATTGCCTCTCGCTGAGAGTCGCGAGCGCTTCCTGTCAGCACTTGACCAATGCTTGACAGACCGCCAGTAGGCTGCTGGCTGATTAGACCTTTGTCGGCGGCAGCCTCCTGTTCTGTGTTCAAGACAATTTCGTTTCGTGAGATTTCATCAAAGATGCCTTGGAGATACTCCTCCGGAAGATCGGCATTGTCATTGATACCACGGTTGTTCTTGATGAAGTCAGCCGCCGTCATGCGGGGGCCCTTCATCTTCTTGCTATGCTGGTCAACGTTCAGCATAATGACTGAATACGACAAGACGTATGCTGTATCGGCGTTGGCGAATGCATTGGGATTGCCAGTAATATATCTTTCCGCAAATTTAAGCATGAAACGATCAATTTTCTGAGCCTCACCGGGCAACCGGAAGCTCTGGAGGAAACGTCGCAGGGCGTCGGTAAAGCGTGTCTTTGAGAAGTCCATCAAATCTACAAAAGCATGCATGATGGCAATATTCTCTGCATCGCCCTCACCGAGAAACTCACCAAGTGCCGTCTTGTCTATCTGGTCATTGTCCAGGAAGAAACGAGCAACGTCTTCGGGCTTGTTCGAGGGAATGAAGCCCTCTGCTATGAGCGTCTTGAGTCCACGTTTCGGCTTGTAGTTGAACTGCTTCAAGGCATTCGTCAGAGCAGTCTTCCGCTGCTTGGCCTTTTCAAGCTGGCTGTAGTCATCTTCCGCAAGCGGTGTGACTGTGCCAGAGTCTGCACCAATCATTGGGGACTCTGCGAGTGTTCGCGTATCCATGGATACCCTGAGGTCATCTAGTGATGGGCGCAAGCTTGAATGAACTGCCTTTGTGTTCTCGGGAAGCGCCTGTTGTGCCCAGTTAACGAGAGAGCGCAGTATCTCGACCAAGGCCTCCAACGATTCTTGCTTCATAGCATATTCTTGAGGATAGCTTTGTTCAGTCTCATGTGAAGAGTTCATGGAGGCCGTAGTGAGCGATGGTGGCAGGGTGCCTCGGGTTTGCCAGTCCATTTGCTTGGACTGCTTTTCCCGCTGCTCCTGATACGCCTGCTGTTGCATTGCTGTGATTGTGACAGGGTTGCTTGAAATCTTGGACAGGTGCTCGACAACGCGTTGGAACATGTTGTCAAGCGCGGTGCGGTCGCAGTCATAGTTGAGATAAATCTCTACCAGGGCTCGGGGGTCGGCAGCCAGCCTTCCAAATATTGTCAAAATGTATTGCTTCTGAAATGCAGGGGCACTTCGCTTGTCTAATGTTGCCAGGTAAATCTCCTTGAGAAATACCTCGACTTCCTTTTTGAGTGATATGCGCAGGAATTTGAGCATCTGCCAGAATATCTCACAGGCCACTTCAAACACCTGCTTTACTGAACTTGCACCGTTCCGACTGAGGCTCAAACACAGGTATTGCTTGACCGCCTGAATGAAACTTGTGGGCTCGTCGCTGCCACTGCGGATGGTGGCGTAGGGCGATTCGAAAACAGCAATGTTATTGAACAAGATGGTGTGAATCATGTGCAGTGAGAGAAGCTTAGAGCGCATGCCCTGCGACCGCACATCGTGCGCATGGTCAACTGACAAACTCTTTGTGCTCAGCCGACACATGGCTCTGAAGACTAGGTATGCATCTTTGACGAATATCTCGTCCTCTTCCTCTTCCTCGGTGTTGATGTGAGGCGAGGCGCCGTCTTGGCCCGAAACTTGCCGTGAGCCAGGCTTGGCCTTGATTCGAGTCACAAGCGTCGGTGCATTGTCGTGTATACGATCGTCGTTGAAGCTCATGTTGTTTTCAAAGCTTTGCAGTGTGATCTTGGGCCCAGTGTGTTGGTCGACGGCTTTGTCATTGGGCGTGGCTGATTCATCACGCTCGTCCTCGCCATTGGGCTCATCGCCGTCGAAACCCGTGGGACTAGGTTCTCCCCGATGTACGCTCTCCCCAGAAGTGTTCTTGTCGTTGAGAGACACGCGTGACAGATTCAAGCGAGCTTCCTTGGCAGCCAATCTGGCCTTGACTCTTTCAAAGACGGTGCCGACCATCTGGGTCAGTGCACCTTGAGCAACCTGCTGGTTTGCACTCGACCTGGATAGGAGGAAGATGTTGTATGTGAGTCGCACAGCCTTGAGCAATCCCGCTCCATGTACCACAATCTTGTCGTTCAATATGGCGGCGAGCAGCGACTTTACAATCTGCAGTTGGATCTCTGGGGCCGTGGCCTCACCCTGGAAGCAGTCACATATTGTGTCAATTGCTCTCTCAATTAGGGGCGGCGCCTCGCTGCTGTCAGGACGGGGCTCGGTGGGGACGGAGAAGTAGGAGTAGCTGATGAGCTTGCCGATGCAGTCGAGGGCGGTGATTGAGACGGGGACATTGGGGGCCTCTGAGGCGAGTTGAAGGGGTTCGAAGAGGACCTCGGGGTTGATGCGCGCGGGGTCGCCCTCGTTCTTGATGGCAGACAGGGCGGCATTGGTGCTGTCGCCCAATTTTTTGTTCTTGCGGGCATCTTTGGAAGCGGCAATGGTCTCGAGCGCAGTGACGACAAAGACGAGGGAGCTGCGCGTCGAGGGGCGGGTTGCGGTGGTGGCGACGGTCGACTGCGAGTCTGTTCGTGAGCGGGATTCGAGGGGCAGGCGCTGGTCGAACATCTGCTCCGAGGTGCGCGGCGGGTCTGAGGTATCCGGGACGGATAACGCTGGTGCCTCGGTTGGAGGTGTTGAGGTGTCGGCTTCTTCCCGAGGGGGTTCTGCTGCTGATGCTTCTGGTTCTGCATTTGCTGCCTTGTCTGTCTCTGCTTCTGCCTTATCCGGGGCAGGCGAGGCATGGTCGGAGCCTGCATCAGAGTCACTGTCGTCGTCGTCCCCCTCGTCGTCGTCCGTCTGTTCCGCCTCTTTCTCCTCCTCGTCGCCCGTTGTTTTTGCTGGGCCTGCGGCGGGCGTCTGGTTTTCTCCCATGGCGGCGGCCTTTTCCTCGGCGTCCGAGGCCTGTATTTGTGTTATTGGTGGGGGCTCGGTGTCGGCCATTGTGGTGTGTGTAAGTAGGTTGTCACGACTACGGCCAGGCTACTATGATCAAGGGACCAAGGTTGGATGACGGACGAGCGGGCGTGGGTCAACGACCATCCATGGCCCCAATTCAAACACGAAGCAAGAGGCGGAAGGGCAGTCGCACAGTCGCAATGGCGCACAAGGCAACGTAATGCAGTCCAGGCCGATTCCAGGATGCGGGCCGTGCCTTCTTGTGAGATGACAAAGTGTCTTTCCTGGCTAGCTGGGGCGGACCCAGAGCTGGTGAGCTGCGTACCTGGCCGACCGGGGGCACGGCAGGCGCTAGTTGGTCAAGCCACAGCACAACAGCCACACGCGGCTCAGCCACTCGGGCACCAGCCACTCAGGGATCATCAGCCACCGCCGCCACTCGCCTTTCCGAAATCTCGCGTTAGGGCCATCGGGTCATAACGCTTAGTACCCGCCGACGGATCTCCAACAAGCTGGCCAGCACTAAACTTTTCTGTTGAGCGACATCTCCAGTCTGCCATCTCTCCCTTGTCCAGTCCAGCTCCAGAGCCTTGAGCGGTCTCCCAGCTCCATTGCCTGCGCCTGCTCTCTTCCCGACCTGCCCCCGAAGAAAGAAGAGCTGCTGCTTCTCCCCTCCCTCTTCCCGGCCATCGCTTAGAGCAAAATCTCAGCGCATCCAGGAACCCCGACACAATGCCCGCTGCTACCACTCTGCTATCTCGGGCGGGCTCCCAATTGACCTCGAGGGGTTCAATTGCCCTGCGCGGCGCCTTCTCTCCCGCGACTTGTACCGCGTAGGTTGCTGCCATCCAACACAGCATACGGCCTGCAAACACCAATCCCGGGCCCAACCCCGAGACCACTGGCTGACCGCGAAACATGTAGACGCACACCCGCCCTCTCTGCCCTCGCCCGGTACTATGCCTCCAAATGTGAGCATCCCGCTGTCTGCTGCCACGTCCTGGCCACACCGCTAACCTCTACTCGCCGCAGCCTACCCACCCCACAGCGTTATCAGCATGCCTGCCCTCTCCCCGACCATGACCTCCGGAAACATTGGCGCATGGCAGAAGAAGGTTGGCGACTCGATAGCGCCCGGTGATGTGCTCGTCGAGATCGAGACGGACAAGGCACAGATGGACTTTGAGTTCCAGGAGGAGGGCACTATTGCCAAGATCCTCCGCGACGCTGGTGAGAAGGACGTTGCAGTCGGAAGCGTAAGTGTGCTCGGGATTTAAGTGGAATCGTTATACTAACCATTGCAGCCAATCGCCGTCATGGTTGAGGAGGGTGAAGACGTCTCGGCCTTTGAGAGCTTCTCCATTGAGGACGCTGGTGGTGACAAGAAGGCCGCTTCATCTCCCAAACAGGGTGAGGCTTCGGAAGCCAGCGAGCCCCCCAACAACTCCGGCTCCAAGACCGCTCCTCCAGCCAAGGAGCAGTCCGCACCCGCCGCCATCGAATCAGACTCGACCGGTGCCCGTCTCGAGACAGTCCTCCAGCGCCAGCCTGCCGTCTCCCCTGCTGTTAAGAAGCTCGCTCTCGAGAAGGGCGTCCCGATTGGTTCCATCAAGGGCACTGGCAAGGGCGGAGCCATCACCAAGCAGGATGTTGAAAACTACAAGCCTGCTGCGGGAGCTTTCCCTGCCGCTGCCGCGGGCCCTGCTTACCAGGATACCGAGGCCAGCAGCATGCGCAAGGTCATCGCTAGCCGTCTTACCGAGAGCATGCAGCAGAACCCCCACTACTTTGTCGCCTCCAACATTTCCGTCTCCAAGCTTCTCAAGCTCCGCGAGGCTCTCAATGCTTCGGCCAACGGCGCCTACAAGCTGTCGGTCAACGACTTGCTCGTCAAGGCGCTTGCCATTGCCGCCAGCAAGGTCCCCGCTGCCAACTCGTCATGGCGCGAGGAGGGCGGCAAGGTCATCATCCGCCAACACAACACCGTCGATGTCTCGGTCGCCGTCTCCACCCCTGTTGGCCTGATGACACCCATCGTCAAGAACGTCACTGGACTCGGTCTCCAGACCATCTCATCACAGATCAAGGATCTTGGCAAGCGCGCCCGCGACGGCAAGCTCAAGCCTGAGGAGTACCAGGGCGGAACCATCACCATTTCCAACATGGGCATGAACCCCGCCGTCGAGCGATTTACCGCCGTCATCAACCCCCCGCAAGCCTGCATTGTCGCCATTGGCGCCACCAGGAAGGTCGCCGTACCCGGCGAGGCCTCCGAGGATGGCACCGCAAGCATCGAGTGGGACGACCAGATTGTCATCACTGGAAGCTTTGACCACAAGGTTGTTGACGGTGCCGTCGGTGGCGAGTTTATGCGTGAGCTGAAGAAGGTGATTGAGAACCCTCTTGAGCTTATGTTGTAGATTTTGTTGTAATTGGGTACATTTCAGGGTGGATGAATATGTGCGTGTAACTTTACCTCTCTGGCTAGATGAGAAATGGATTTCCAATCAGGACGGAACGATGTTTTATGTATAGTGGATGGATGGCGCCTTGTTCTATCCCCCCATGAAATTATTTTGTCCCATTGTTGTATTGCTTGATAGTTGATATCTCCCACTCTTGAATTTGTGTTGTTCTTGGCGATTTCAAGTATCACCTTGTTGAAGTTACCCCCTTGTTTATCACTACTAGACTAATCCGCTGGCTAGTCATTCCATCCTACCTCGACACGCGCTCTATACTACTACCAAAGGAAAGAAACAAAGAGCGAAAGAGAAGAAGAAAACAAATCATCACTTATTACCAACCTCAAACACCACAACCTCCACCTCCCCATCCCCACCCACCCTCTCACACCTAGCCTCCGCCCTGCCCCCCTCCCTCATCTCCACCCTCACACTCCGAAACAGCTTCTCCTCCTCCAACACCACCCCTTCGTCCTCCAGATCCTCGAATTCGGGCAGAGTCGTCAAATCCTTCTCCTCCTCCTTCCTCGCATCCCACACGCCCTGATCCTCCATGCCCATGACCCTCTCGACCACCTTGGCCACAACCGGGCTATCCCAGCACCCCTCCATGCGGGGCACCGCGTCTAACGACGCATGGGCATAGTGCCGCAAGCAGCGAACTCTGCACTTGATGGCAGTGTAGAACAGCGAAGCCACGACGCCGGACTCGCAGATGGAATGCTCGAAATTGACGTTTTGCGGGATTTGCACGGCGAAGCTGTAGGCGATGTGGATGGTGCGGGCGCAGGAGAGGATGCGGTGGAAGAGGCGCGTGTGCGAGGCGTAGATTAAAGGGGAGGCGGATAAAAGGGTGTGCGCGCGGATTAGGGCGCTGCTGTGGGACATGAGGAGGAGGGTGTAGGAAAGGGGTGTGCGTGAGGATCCCGGGTGCGATCCAAAGGCTGGAGTGTCTTTGTCTGGCGGGCAGGAGTTGAGGTGGGATTTGGTGCGGAGGTAGGTTGCATGCCAGGAATCTAGCAAGGTGAGGAGGTGGGACTGGGTTTTTTCGAGGGAAGGGGAGGGTTGGTGGTGGGGTTGAGATGTTTGGAGGAGGTGCTCTGTGTGTGTTACGCGGCGGAGGATGGTGTCGAGGGCGTCTTTTGCGGCTTCGGGGCTTGCGAAGATGGAGCTGGGGAGGTGTAGGGTTGCCAGCGAGTGGGGGAAGATGTCTGGGTTGGAGAGGTGGAAGTCTGAGCTGAAGAGGGTTCTTTGCGTGACGAGGGCGGCGAAGCTGCGGACAATGCTTTGTTCCATGACGCTGGAGCGTGGGACCCGGCCATCGCCTAGTAACTTGATTCCATTCTTCAAGTGTGTTTCGGCGATTTCGTGGCGCCCTCTCAGGTACTCCAGGAATGTAAAGAGCATGCATGTCACCAGTACAACAGCCACGTCTTGTGTATCACTCGTCCTCGCCAGCATCGGCTGCAGCCCGGAAATCGCCTGGCTGTACTGCTTTAGGACAAACCTCTCTCTCGTGCCGACACTCTGGCCCGGAATAAAATTACACTCGTGTGCCGCACTCAGTGCTACGACGGCATGCAAGATGGCCGGTTCAGAGGCAAGGGCCGGGATAACAGTAGCGTGCCAGAACGAATACCCGAACCAACCTGACGACGTCCACGATACGCGCTGTTTGTACAGCTCAAGGTAGCGTAATTCGTCTGACGGAAAAGACTTTGCCAGAGGTTTTGAAAGCTGAACTTCTGAGCCAGTAGTGGTTGGCTGGGAACGACGGCCATATCGGTCAAGATAAGTATTTCCTCCTCCTCCCTGGGCACCGTAGCCATCACACGTCCGGCCAGTGCTGAGACAGCGATTGCAGACTGGCTTTGTCTCGTCACATTTTACTTTGCGTACTCTGTCTTCATGTCAGGTACAATATAACCTTGGGCACCCAGTGTGACCCGCTATTCTCGTCGCCTTCATGTTGTTTGTTTTATGGTAAAAAAAAACCCCCCACAGAAACCCAACCCGATCAATATAGTTAAGGCGGATGAGCGAAATAACAATAACATACTTGCACGTCCCGCATCCGGACCTTGACTTCTTCCGCGACCGCCCGGTACCTGCAGTATGCAATGTAGTCGTTGTAGACACAGGCGGCGCTGGTTGTCTCAGGGGTACACTAGTAAGCTCCTGTAACATTCCGACTACCAAGCAACGATAGCACCACTCTCACTAGGCGATAAGGCTGGGGTGGAATGATAAAAAGCTGAGTAATTGAAGGAGCAATTGGTTCATGCATAGTGCATCGGATCAAAAGCCAGCTTGAAGCTCGCTAATGGCGTGGCTGATCTTTTCTCATTCGCTCGCTACTTCTTGTTGGCTTTTACTCAATGTGGACGACTGGACGCCTGACGCCCCATCACCGTGCTCTTCCAAGATCAAATATTCAATATGCAACGTCCGAATTTCCCAACATTGAAGACATCGAATCTCATATTCGTTCATCTATGGACTGGTCTATCATAAGCATTGCATTACCATGATCTCATCACAGAAAACAAAATGAACAAAGTCGAATACCACTTTCCTTCCTCCCAAAGCGTAGTTTGTCATATACACTACGCCATTCAAATGCTTTTTTCCATTTGCCAATACGCCTGCATACATCTCCTCGTCTAAGACGCCTCAGCGCCGTCGGCCTTTTGGCCCTCGGCATCAGCCATCTCCGTGTCCTTTGAGTCTTCAGCAGGCGGCGCGTCAGCCTGCTTCTTAGACTCGGCCTCCCGCTTTGCGCGCTCCAGCTCAGCCTGCTTGGCAGCGTGCTCCTTTTGTTGCTTCTCCATTGCGGCTTGCCTCTCACCCTCGATCTTGTCGTTGTAGCGCTGGATGATAGGGCCAGCAATGGACCGGATGTCCTCCTTCTTAGAGACGTATTGTGCCTTGGACGCATCGTCGCCTTCGTCATACAGCCATTCCTGTCTTTATTAGTATCTTTTCCCCTTCCACCAAGCAATTCTTGAACTTACCTCAATGGTCTCAAGCTTCTGGTTGAGCCTGGCCTTCTCGTCATCGCTGGCAAACTCGGCATAGACGTCGAGAATCTTGTCCTTGAGCTCGTAGATGAAGCTCTCAAGGTTGTTCTTCTCATTCTCGGTGTCGGCAACGAGCTTGTCCTCCATAATCATGGCGTTCTCGCGCTCAGCAGCAATCTGCTTGGAAGCCTCGTCAAGCGAAGCAGTGCCCGCCGACAGAGGCAAGTCTCCCTTGCGGAGCTGCTTCTTGACCTTGCGCATCTTGGGTGGCTCTGGGGGAGCATCCTTGTCTACGTCCATTGCCTGCGCATAATTCGTTAGCTCATTTGTTTCGGGCGCAGAAGCAAAAGGACGCGCATGTACAGCATCATCGCTAAGCTTGTATCGTTTCGCAGCACGTTCTGCTGAACTTTGCTCGCTGGTACTCGGATCATTAGGAAATTCAGAAAAACGTACATCACCCTCTTTCTTCTCTTCAGGAATTGGCTCCTCGACCTCGGTCTCCTCGACGTAGTATCCAGACTCAACGTTGAGCACACCGTGCACGTTAAGGCGTGCCTTGAGTTTGCAAATCATGAAATCGCCCTTGGGGTCCTCCTTGACGCCCTTGACGGAGAAACGGCCGATCCAGGGGTTCATCTTTCCTGGAAGCTGTTCAGGCTTGGCGTATCTGGCTTCAAGATCGAATGGGTGTTTTCGGTAGAAGGTCAGGATCTTGGTGGATGGCATGACGTTGCCCTTGTTGAAGACGGTGAGGCTGGTGTCCTCATCGGGAATGTCCTCGGACTTTTCCCATGTGAATTCAATAGGGTAGTTGACCATGTCGTGGACGGAGAAGTCACGGACACGGAAGACTGGAGAGAGGATAGCGCAGCAGAAGGCACATCCACGGGCAACAGCCTCGTCTTGGTTCAGAGTGAAGGACAGAGGCTTTCCAAAGAAGTCTTGGATCCTCGTCTTGAGGGCAGGGACACGTGTGCATCCACCGACCATCTCAATCGAGTCAATGTCCTCGACAGTAAGCTTGGCCTCGGCGAGAGCCTGCTCAATGGGCGCAGTGGCGCGCTCAAGGAGCGGCTTGATCAGCTCCTCAAGCTCCTCACGCTTGAGCATACCACGCACGTCAACATCGTTCATGATGGACTCGACGTTGATGGGCGCCATGTTGTTGGCAGAGAGCACCTTCTTGAGCTTCTCAACACCAGCAGCGAGACGGAAACGCGCCTTTCCGTTCTCCATGACATCGATCTTGTACTTTTCCTTGAACTCCTTGGCGAAGTGCTCGACAAGGGCCTTGTCGATGTAGCGGCCACCAAAGTGCCTGTCCCAAGCGCTCGACTTGACGGCGAGTTCGCCCTTTCGGAACTCAACAACAGTGGCTGTGTAGTTGCTGTGGCCAATGTTGACAAAGACAACTCTCCGTGGCTTCTCTTCTGGGCCAGGCAGGTCGAGCTTGGGGATACCCCAGCCGAGGGCGACTGCGGTGTTGTCGTTGATGAGTCTTAGGCACTTGAGGCCAGCAATCTCTGCGGCGTCGAGAATGGCGCGGCGCTGGGCGTCGGTGTACCACACGGGGCAGCTGAGGACAATGTCGTTTACGGGCAGCTTGAGCTCGGCAGAGGCTGTGGCCCGCATTTTTGTGAGGTGCATGGCGGTGATTTGGGTGGCGGTAAATCGCTCCTTCTTGCCCAGGTAGTTGACCTCTGCGCCCACCTGGCCGTCGATGTCGACAAGCTGGGCAGAGACAAAGTCCTGCTCGATCTGGACATCTGGATCTTGGAGGGTGCGGCCGGCGAGGCGCACAAACGACGAGACCGTGTTCTTGAGGTTGGAAATTTCTTGGTTCTTGGCCATCTCACCAATGTATCTGCTCTTGGGGCCGAAGCCTACTAGTGATCTGTATCATGGCCAGTCAGCCGAGTGTTCTCTGGGGGGTGATGTGTTCGCGGGGGGCTACTTACGGTGTCGCGCGGTTGGAAACCTCATTTGCAATCTGGATAGTGAGTCAGTGTGAGCCATGGACAAAAGTGACAGTGAGAGATATGCGGTGGCACTTACAACGTCGACACCACGATTCCGCGCAACAGCGATGACGCTGTTGAGCGTACCCAAGTCGACTCCTACTACAGACATTGTTGATCTGTGATGGTGGGGTGTGTATGGGGGAAGTGGGAGTGTTGTGTTGTGTTGTGTTTGCGTGTGGAGGGGTAAGAGAGGGTATATGGGGTATCTAGTGCGGCGAGATTTTATGGGCGGTAAACCAGGACAAGTGTCGTGGAGTAGTAGCGAAGCAATACAAGGAGGCACGCGCCGCAAAATTTCAAAATTTCAAGACTGCGCTGGTATGACCTAACAAGAATGCCCGACTCGAACAAAAGGAACCACACAGAACTTTCTCGATGGTCCCAAACAGCGGGGCTCTTTTTTGCTGGGCGGGCGGACGGCACAGACCACCCGCCCTCCAAGTCCGCCGCCGCCGCCGCATTACCGCACGCCAACACCAAACCGTCCAACCACCAACACCACACATCAACACACACACACTATCACCACCAGCAATAGCAACGCGTCGCGTCATGCCCAAGCTGCTCCGTGCCAGCGCCGACGCGTCTGTTGTAGGCGACCTCCCCTCACCACCGCGATAGTCGCATAGTGTTTGCAACGACCGCGCGCCTCGCAACAGCTGAGGACGGCTGACATCATGGCCTACGTGCCCCCCTACCCGCTGCTAAACAGGACCTACAACCTGTACCGCGCATCCCCACTGCACCATGGTGACTCGTTCCTGCTGAGCAATCAGTCGATGCGCGCCCATGCCAAGCGGCTCAAGGAACAGCTCAAGGGCGACAATGTGCGTGGTGTGCAGGTCGACTTTGCCGGCGGAGACGAGACGGCAAAGCTGGGCCCGCTCGAAGAGTGTCGCTGGGAGGTGCTTGGCGACGAGGATGCCTGGATTGACCGACGCCTCCAGTCTGAGGACCCGGATGCGCCGCGAATTGCCCCAGACGTCACGCCAGACCGAGCCCGTGGCATCCATGTGAGCCTCGAGTACGAGAAGAACATGTACAATGCCCTCCTTCTACGCGACCCGCATGCTACATCTTCGCCCAATGGCTTCACCTCGCTCCCTCTTTTGCTTGTGAAGATGCCAGCGCCAATACGCGAGATATTTCTAAACTACATCCGAACCGCCTTCGACGCCCATGTAGCTCCCTTGAGGCTTCCTTCGTCTTTTATCACGTCGTCCCTTGAGACATTCTTCAGTCACCTTACAGCACGCAGCTCTACCCTGTCCATTCAAGACACCATAAAGCAGCTGCACGTCCAACTCACATTCCCCAATGCCACGAGCCTTCTCAAGCACATTGAAGTTACGATTGCAGCAGAAGACGTAGCCGGGTTTGTTCAGCGCGGAAAGCTGCTAAAAACAACCCACAGCAAACCATTCACAGCCGCCCTATCCAACTACCTAAACCGCCACCTCGCCCTCGACCTTTCCCACCCAAAAGTGCAAGTATCCCGTATATCCTGCGCCAGCTTCCACCTCGGCATCGAGCGCCTCAAAATCGTCGCTCCAGACACCCTCCCAGACACTTCTATCACCGACCAAGGATCCCCGTCACAGTCACAGGATTCAAGTGCTGCTCAACTTGCCGTCCATCAACTCTACACGCTGTTGGTTCGAGAAGCAACTGGAAGCGGCAAATTCTTGCCGGAGGATCTGGCAACGGACGCAAGAGAGNACACGCCGTCTTCGACTGCGAGTGCGCGTCGGAAAAGGGCGGTCAGTACTACGGCGACTACGAATGGGACTACCAAGAAGACGAAGGGCAAGGGGAAGGGAGTTGCGAAGCAAACTAATGGGGACACTCCCAGCAATTAAAAGTTCATCCTTCCTCTTCGGTGTTGTAGAAACAGGCATGGTTTTACTCATTGTAGGCTATATATTTCCTTTTTCGTATGATACCCCATAGTCTATTTCCGATCATGCCAATCAAAAAACATACCCTTTCATAGTCACACATAATACCCCTGCGAAGTTAGTAAAGCTAGCAGCACGTGACATACATGGATTGCAAACCGCCCTGCCTTCAAACCTGTCATCACTCGCTTAACATCCAACATGAAGAAAGATTTTGATTCAACAGAGAAATTTCAAAGCTAGGGAATTTCAGAAATCAATACGCACTACTGACCCGCCCCCTCCAAAATATAGGGAATCGTAAAAAACACTACCAACAAAAAAAACCCAGAATCCAAAAAAATCCTACTCAGGTATACACACTCTCGGTAAAAGAATTGACCTGCAGCCCCCGTTCCGCCATATCCGCCTTCTCGAGAAACTTCAACTGCATCCACACTAAATGACCCTTAATTCTATCTAGCTCCTTCCTCACCTCCTTGGCTGGGCGATCAACATCATACAAATGCCCCTGCTTGTGTTCTTTGTCGGAATTCGGGTTTGGAGTAAACGAATCGTAGTCTTCAAAAGTGAGAATATTGTCGTCGGGGTCGGCGTGGAACAAGTCGCGGAAGACAGAAGTGTTGGTGGAGGCGCGGGTGCACCATTCGTCCCAGAGTTTGGGGGAGAGGGGGTCGGAGACGAAGTCTGCTTCGGGACCTGGCATGATGTCGTTGCGGGAGTGTTCGCTGGGGGGTTGGGCGTTGGGGTCGTCGGTGGCGTTGAGGCTTTGCGGGGGGAGGAGGCCGAGGTGTTCGCGCCAGAGGATGCTGCGGAGTTCGTGGGCGAGGCGGGCGGCTTTGTAGGGTTTGCCATCGAGTTGGGTGTCAATTAGTTCGGTGTCTTGGAGGACGATGGAGAGCTCCGAGTCGTGGAATCCCAGCTGTGAACGATCATTGATGTTGGATGAGCCGCAGATGACGGTCTTGTCATCGACAATGCAGATTTTAGCGTGGACGTAGAGCTCTTCTTGGAAGAAGTACTGTTTCTCGTCTTCGGCCTCACCTTCCCAGTCCTCATCGCTGGGCTTCTTCTCAGTGAGCATGGCGTCGTCGGCAATGGAATCTGGGTCAATCACACCACCCTGGTCACCCTTTCCAATTTCGTCATCCTCATCCATATATCTCTTCCTCATCTCCGCTGCTAGTCGTCGCTTTTCATCCCCACCCTCCTCCGTTGGCGCTTCGAGCTCGTCGATTTCGGCAGTTTCCATCTCCATGTACGTCATGCCAGACTTCTTCTCCAGCTCCTTGAGCTTGGGCGTGACATTGATGCGATCGTACGAGCGGAGGTTGAAGAAGAAGATGTATTTTTCAGGGTCGACACCGGCAGCCTTGACTTTGCCAAAGATGCTCTCGTCGCCTCTGCAGATACTCTTGAATTGGTAGTCCATAATGGCTCGCGTTCCAGCCGCAGCCTGATCTCGCAAATCTCCCGCGAAGCCAGGGATAGCCGGGATGACGATAATGATTCTGAAGTTCCGTTCTTCTTTAGCAGCCTTCACAATTGCATCGACCATAGCAGCTCCAATCTGGTTATGAACTGGATTCTCGTCATGTTTGCTGGTCGCGGTAATGAAGAATTGGTTCTCAATGTATACGTAATGTTGGGCGTTTCGGATAATCTCGCAATAGGCGTTCTGGATGCTTTGTTCATGAGGCTCGATGCCCATGCTCCAGTCCGCGCTACTTCTGACAAGCTGTGCATGCACAGTTCCACGGTTGTCAAGATTCTTGCTACTGAGCTGCGTCACGGGATGGTGTATGTAATGACCAACAGGGAACTTCGGCCGTTGGACTCCAATCAGGTCTTCGTCAGCACCCTCACGTCCTTCCATGGTAAGCCAGTCATATCGTTCGTCACGCTTATACTTTTCACGCTTCACAAAATTCCATCGCAGGACAAAGTGTTCGGCAATGTCGTAGATTGCCGGGCCTATGATTCCCATGGCGACGTCGTGCCATGGCATGCGACCATAATCAAGCTTGTCCAGTTTGTTTGATTTCCAGTCGTCAACACTCTGGAAATCCATAATACGGTTATTGTTGTAGTCTTGACCAGGGAAAATCTGGTTCTGAACACCGGATGGATGTGCATCAGACAGGGGATGCTGCTTCTCATCCCACCGGCCGTAGCACAGATCCAGCCCACCGATGAAGGCCATGGCATAATCAATGACGATGAACTTCTCGTGATGAGCCCAGTAGAATGTCATGTCCGCAGCATTCTCAAACACATTATGGTCAGGGTGTCGCATGACCCTGATGTTCCCGTAGCCAGGTTCACCCTCTTTGATAAGGCCCATGAGGGCCTTTTTGGTATGCTGACTGTTACAGGTGAGAGCAGCAGAGACCTGTAGGGTGAGTGAGTAGCTGGACGCACGGCAGGCATACCCATGCTTACCTCCTTGTAGACGGAAATGTAAATCTTTACGCCAGCCTGGGCGCGTCGCTTGAGAATTTGATCCAATCTGAATTGCTGATTGTAGTAAGGCGGCCGCTTCAAGAACAGCTCTGGGCTGAGCCACCAATCCGCAATGTAGATGGTCTCCTGCGCCTTCTCCAGAGCGTCGGCAACGGCCCAGAAGTAGTCTCGGCCGTCGACATACCATTTCACCAGGTTGCCGTCTCTTTCGGGTGCAAAGCTGTTGAAGCGATGGCTCTCGGCGATCTTGCTCCTCTTGGCGTCGGTTGCTTTCTCGTGCTCCTCGTCATGGCGATGGTTGGTGTTGAAGAGGTTGCCGAACTTTCCAACCTTGTGCTTGAGGTGTACAGCTTTGATATGTGCGCCTCGCAGCTTGGTGTGCTCAAGTTTTTGCTCAATTTCCTCGACCTTTTCCGAAAGGCGGTGGTCGAAAGGATGTAAGAGCTTCTTAAGGCCCTTTTCTTTAGACATGTTGCCAGCGGTGCGTAGTGATCAACGATCAACGATCAGCGACCTGCAATGGCGTGGCGTAGCAATGGCAATGGTGAGGCTTGTGAGAAAGGTGAGTGGAGGAGGAGGAGGCTGAGGAATGAGGCGCGTGGCAGAGGCGGTGGAGCAGGCATCAGCCATATGGGCACGTCTTGTACTTATTGGGCCGTCAAAGTGAACAAACCTGTATGTAATCATTCTCATCCTGTGCATAGCAAGCGCGCACAGTATTGGGGACAGGGTGCAGGGGTGGTGCGTTCCTTCGGCACAACAAAAACCACTGACGTCACTCCCCGCTACGCCCCATTGCGACGCGCTACACCTACCCCTCGTATCATCATCCGTTGCTTGTTCCGAGCTACTCGCCAACTCGGCATCATCGATATCAGCAGAGTTTTCTGCTTTTTACCGAACCACGTGCTGACATGGCCGTCTAGAACATTGCTGGAACCTTAGATCATCTCAATACTGTTACTACTGCCTCCCATGAAACAGACCCTTGCAGGGCTTACGAGTACAGAGGAACCATACAGGTATGGCTATATCAACGCGGTAACTGACACGTAACATACAGAAAAGAAACTCCTTCACAAAGATTGCCTCCTTCATCATCCACAGGGGAGCCGCCGAGAGGCTTTAGCAGGCCAGCGCATCAAGTCTTCACGCAACCACTATCACAGGCCAGCCATCCTCCCAGTCGAGATAATTGTACCCAAAGAAGAAATTCTCCGCCCCGTAACCAACACTTGGACGAACTAAGACAATCGTCAGCAACCACCAAGTATACTTGACTCATCATCGACTTTACCATAGTGATAGTACATGACGGTCCTCCCATTCTCCGGGTGCATCATGACACCCTGCCCGCCCGGTGCATATACATCTCCGTGGCTCGCCAAAATCGTCGTCCCACCGTCCGCCTCTAAACAGCTCCTGCCACTGCGGTCATAAAATGGACCCTTGGGCATCTCTGAGCGGCACACGACAATATGGTAAACCTGGTCGTCCGGGGCGAGGCCTGTTTGTGGTGTGTTGCAACAGTGACCAACACTATAGAATAAGTAGTAGAATTCTTTCTCCTTGTGCATGATGGCGCCTTCAACTACCAGCGCGTTCAGTGTGTTATTTCGTATAATGTTGACGATGCGTCCATTCTGATGAGCCCAGTCCCCGAATGCTGTTATATCATCGTCGGGAAAAAGCTCGACTTGGAAAATGTCTTGCCAGTACGAGCCAAAAGTAAAGAAGATGGGACTGTCTGGTGCTTCTTGGAAAACAAAAGGATCAATCAGGTTGTACTTGTGTGATAAAGGGAGGCCGATACTGCCGTGGTCTTGCCAGCTACCCGGTTCGAGCGAGTGTGAGGTAGCAACTCCGATCGATGAGTTTTGAAGTCCAAATCTGGAAACTGAGTAGTGACAGTAAAACATGTCGCCTCGCTTGGTCACGGAGGGTGCCTGAATACCGTCATGAGAAAGGGTCTCGATGACAAACTCTTGTCAAGTATCAGACGCTACACTTACCCAGATATCCTGTCCATCAACCACAAATATACTAGTGCCGTTGTGTAACAACGCACCTTTGTAGCGCCATGGTCCCCCGAGCGAGGGAGCTGTAGCAATGGCAATGTTGCCGCTAGTTGAAAACCGCCAATAAGTTCCATCTTCATACCAAATGCTGGGGTCGTGGATCCACGAACAGTTTCCCCGACATGGTTCGGGATCGGGATAGATTCCATCTACTAGTGGAGGACCTGCTTGTGGATTTGGCAGAGGACGAGGTTTTGGCCCGGCATGAGGATACGGTTGTGGTGTTGCAAGCGGGCTTGCAACTGTGTTCTTTACAACGAATGGTACAAAGGTAGCGCTGGTAATGAACAACGCGCCAAGTAGAGCAGTAGTGAATCTTGCCGGACCAGAGTCCCAAATCATATTTGCAAGTCCTCTCTTGATTGCAAATAGCATTGTTGTTCACTGAGTATTCAGCAACCTTTTTCCAAAATTCCAGCAAGTTGACTATAGTTTATATGGTACTGAAAGGAGAACCACGTCAGCGGTCATGCGCAAAACCTCGGCCTTGACCATTCTCGTTTGCGACCATAACTGGCGGCTGACGTCGGAGCTTCTACTCTACCTTCACGATGTAATCAGCGGTGAATTCTGTTATGACAATCTTGATTATCGTCCTTGAAGTTAGCTGCAAAGCTTGTGCGATGGCCATGTAGATCGGTTGGCCGCGGTTTTGTGCGGACATTTAGACTAGCCTGTGAATGTTTGAAGACTCTCCAAGTCAACATGTTCAAGCCGGTCAGGCGACTTGTCTGCCTAGGCCAAGCAAGAGCTAGAAGGCCATTTGTGGCATCTCCACACTGGCTTCATATTTGCATCAGTAAGGGTATGGCAGTAAAGCAAGCTAGGCTTCCGATAGCAACCCACGCTGGGTGACATATTAAAGAGTCGTGCAACAGTGCCGATTCTACTTCTGTTCCGAATGACTAGGGGTCTTCCTTGGTAGAATTCAAACTCGGTAATGCTATTTCCGGATTCAGATGCGAAAACTATCGCCATTTTAACGCCTTTACGATTGGATTGGCGCCTTTGTCACTTAAGCTATCCCAGCGATGTCAGTGATCACCATTAGTACTTAGTCCTGCACTAATTATGTTGTCATTGCCACGTGCATAGTATTTGATGGACTGAAATCGTAGAGAAGCTTTCCGTGAGACGTCGTACGACTTTGCTGCAGCAAATCGCTACTGATATCTGATTGACCCTAAAACGGAGTGATGCGTTTTGTTGGCTCCTGAGTGCTGGCACATGATGACCGTTGACATTAAAGTCCTAAAAAAGATACTGCTGGTCGTTAACTGTGCGTTGTATTTGCATTTCGAGGGCAAGTCGGCCATGTAGATCGAGCGCAACGTGTCGACAGCTACCACATCGTACTTGTGTGACCATAAGCAACCTTGCTACCAAACGTCCTCATCTGGATTTCACATCACCTAATAGAAAAAATGTGGCTCTGGAGGCGCATTCTGACTCAGCCACTCCTCAACGATTCAAAAACGGCCGATGCTTCTGCAATATCAGTATGATAGGCGGAGGCTGCAAGAAAAACCATAATTGTGGGAAACGTCATTGGACAGATCTTGTGGTTCGGCTCCAGCTGCGCTTGAGTGTAACAATAATATTCGCTGCTACTCCGTCTCCATCTCGTGTGAACCGTACTGTTCTTGATCACTTCGTCATCAGGATTCAGCTAGGCGCTTTGTATCCATCGACATCTGTGCTGTTGCTCCATTTGTCAAACTTCTTGATACTTTCACTGTACGTTTCTACCTTCTTGGTGACCATGCTATATGCGTCAGTACCAACGACGCATCGTAGAGGCGGATCGTCCATGATTGCTAGGTCGTAGAAGACCCTGGCACCTTTTGCTGGGTCTGCACATGATTTGTGAGTATCCGGTTAGGTCGAAACACACTTGCTAACTCACCTCCTGCTTGGTTTCCATGACGCGCTTGGGCTAACTTCTTCGGATCGACATGGGTGTAGGCTGGGTGGGCGATCTCGCCAAAATCCATACTACGGCCGGACCAATCTGTTCGGAAGCCACTGTAAAGGTGAAGGCACGGGATTCAGCTCATGTCTCACAACTATTTTGTGTACCAGAGACTTACCCAGGCTCGATACATGTAAACTTGATTCCCCATTCTGGCTTCACTTCTTTGGAGATGGCTTCCGTGAAACCCTCGACCGCCCATTTACTAGCACAGTAAATGGAGAAATTGGGAACGCCTAGACATCATTATTTGTAGCCCTAACGGTGTGTGTAGTAATGCACCCACCAATCTGGCCTCCAATAGAGGTAACCTGCTGGATGACGCCTCCAGTCTTCAATTCGCGCATGGTCTCCATCGCCTTCCTCGTCACATCAATCAGACCGAAGAAATTAATTTCCATCTGTTGCCTAATTTGCTTCTCCGACAATGTCTCAAATGGGCCCATTAAGCCATATCCAGCATTGTTGACGACCACATCAATACGCTTGAACTTGGTGATTGCATCGTCAAAAGCCTTGTCAATGGAATCCTTTTTGGTCACGTCGAGATCTACAAAAAGGCTGTTGGAGTCATTTGCTTTCTCGAAAGATAGTTTGGAGGAGTTGCGTGCGGTAGCAACGACGTAATCACCCTTTTCGAGGACGACTTTAACGAGCTCTTCACCGAATCCGGTTGAACAGCCAGTGATGAGGAACACGCGAGGGGCCATGCTGTTGGTGTTGAGTAATGATCTTGGGGAGTCCAATTGAGGGGTTGGAGGATATCTGGAGTCAGTCAATTGCTGTGAGCCATTACGTCAGCCTGTACAAAGGGCGCCAATGATGTTGACGGGGCTAGCTAGTTGGTGTTTAGCTTCATCCTATGCAGCATCGGAAACGCCCTGTCAGTGATACGGTGCCGACCATGCCGAGGGATTAGCGACAGGACGAAGATGGCCTCGACAACTAAAAGGCACAATAAACTAGAGAGTGTAAGTAAGCAAGACCGAAGAGAAGATGCAGCCGTTCAATTGGAAAATTGTTGCATGAGAGTTGATATTAACTTGCATGCGATAACGACTCTGATCTATTTGAAGTAGTAGACTAACAAGCAACGGAATAGCCATAACACCGAAGGAATGGGCTGCACACGATAGTCGAATATGGATGTGTATATATAGGTGAGGGGATGTGGAGTGCTAGGCTGGAAGAGGAGAGATAATGAGACGGGACACGCGTGACGGAAACAGACTAGCGTGGACGCGATCGCGCTTTCCCTGGCTGAATCTGCCCCTCGTAACTTCACCGGGGTAACAGCGCAAAACAATAGACAGTCGAGACAGCCGCCAGGTGAGATACTCTCTGGCTCAGTCTAGGCCAGCATACACGATTGTGCGCCTCTCCACTACTACACTCGTCTGATCTTTGAAGCACAAAACAACAACATGGCCGAAGTCATTAGGGACGAAGAGGTGCGCCGGCGCGTGCGACTTGCACAGGAGTTTCTCGACCCAGGTACGTTGGACAATGCCTCAATGTAGCTCTGATACTGACAAAAGTGCAGATGATGTGTCCAGGAGAAGGTATGCTGCAATTGCTTGCTCACCAGGTTTGCGGCCGCTGACCGCTACCTCTACAGCTACCGACCAGACATTCTGGTGATGCTTAACAGGGGACAGCGAAGACTCACTGTGAGTTGGATAAAGCCTGGGACTTAAATTTTGCATGTTAATAGAATCTAGGTCAGCATAGACGAAATCCGCACGCACGACCGTGAACTCGCCGACGGCCTCCTCAATCAGCCCTTCGAATTCGCAGAAGCCTTTGACCGCGCCCTCAAAGATGTTATCCGCACATTTGCAGACCGACCCAAGTCGGAGACCGCCGAGGACGTCATGTACTATTGTGCCTACGTTGGTAGCTTCGGCGAGTTCTCTTGCAACCCGCGTACCCTCGGCTCCAATCAGCTCAACCACATGGTTTCGCTCGAAGGGATTGTTACCAAGACCTCTCTTGTCCGCCCAAAAGTGGTCAAGAGTGTGCATTACAACGAGACCAAGCAAAGGTTTCATGCGAGAGAGTACAGAGATCAGACCATGACCACGGGTGCTGCAAGCACAAGCGTATACCCTACAGAAGACGAAGAGGGCAATCCCCTTGTTACTGAGTATGGCTACTGCATCTACCGCGATCACCAGACCATATCCATTCAAGAAATGCCGGAGCGTGCCCCTGCTGGACAGTTGCCACGATCTGTCGATGTCATTCTGGATGACGACCTTGTAGACCGAGTCAAGCCCGGCGACCGTATCCAGCTAGTCGGTATCTACCGGTCGCTTGGTAACCGTAACGCGGGGGCAGGCAGTTCAACTTTCCGCACACTAATCCTCGCAAACAACATCATCTTGCTATCTTCCAAATCGGGTGGAGGAATTGCCCAGGTCAACATCACTGACACTGACATCCGTAACATCAACAAGATTGCAAAGAACAGACGCGTGTTTGAACTTCTATCGCAATCACTCGCGCCTTCCATCTATGGACATGACTACATCAAAAAGGCCATCTTACTCCTCCTTCTTGGAGGACAAGAGAAGAACCTGGAAAACGGTACCCATCTGAGAGGAGATATCAACATTTTGATGGTTGGTGACCCCTCTACGGCCAAGTCCCAGCTGCTTCGATTTGTGCTGAACACGGCTCCCCTTGCCATTGCCACAACTGGTCGTGGATCTTCTGGTGTTGGTCTCACAGCAGCTGTTACTTCAGACAAAGAAACAGGTGAGCGACGACTGGAAGCTGGTGCTATGGTCCTTGCAGATCGTGGGGTGGTCTGTATTGATGAATTTGACAAAATGTCCGATGTCGACCGAGTCGCGATTCACGAAGTCATGGAACAGCAAACTGTCACTATTGCCAAAGCAGGTATTCACACGTCGCTCAACGCTCGTTGCAGTGTGGTTGCTGCCGCCAACCCTATATTTGGACAGTACGATATCCACAAGGATCCGCACCGCAACATTGCCCTACCAGACTCCCTCCTTTCGCGTTTCGATTTGCTGTTCGTCGTTACAGATGATATCGAGGACGCTCGAGACAGGCAGGTGTCTGAGCACGTCCTTCGCATGCATCGATATCGCCAGCCTGGTACTGAGGAGGGCGCGCCTGTTCGCGAGGAGGGTGCTCAGCTTCTAGGCGTTGGCCTTGAGACTGAAGGCGACGCCAACCGTCCAACCGAAGTGTACGAAAAGTTTAACCCCATGTTACACTCTGGAGTCACCATTACTGTAGGAAGGGGCGCTTCGCGGAGGACTGAAGTCCTCAGTATCCCATTCATCAAGAAGTACATCCAGTACGCCAAGCGTGAGAAGCCTATCCTCACCAAGGGTGCTGCAGATCATATTGTAAGCGTCTACTCTGCACTTCGCAACGACGAGCTTGATGCAGGCACCCGCCGTACTTCTCCTATCACTGCACGTACTCTTGAAACTCTCATCCGTCTTTCTACTGCGCATGCAAAAGCACGTCTATCGAAGCGAGTTGAGCGGAAAGATGCCGACGTCGCAGAACAAATCCTACGATTCGCTCTGTTCAAGGAAGTCGTCGAGGATGACCGTCGCAAACGAAGACGTACAGCCCGCGACCCAGACGCCATGTCCACAGACGAAGAGTCATCAGGCGATGAAGATGACGGTGATGAAGCAGAGGCTACACAGTCCCGACGGGCTGGCGGACCATCTACTAGAAGCCAGCAGACAGGTGCAACACGCACTCCCGCTGCAGGAGATGGTGAAGACGACGATGACGAAGAAGCGAACGAAGATCTATACAGGGTCACACCAAAAACACAGCGTACCACCAACCGCTCGCAGTCTACCCGTGGCGAACCCTCGTCACAAGTCAGCGTTGCTTCATCACGGCCCGAATCTCAACTTCCTCCTACTCAACCCGATTCCCAAGAGTCCCAGGAGATCACCCCTGCACGTCTACAGGTCTTCCAAACAGCACTTGGTCAACTCATCGACGGTCCATTGTTTGCCAATGATGCTGCAGATGTGGAGCCGCTTGTCGCTGCAGTGAACGCAAGATTGGGTGGTGGCAGTGGAAGGGAGCCATTTGGACAAGGCGAAGCAGAGAAGGCGCTCGAGGCGCTTAGTGAGAGGAACAAGATCATGTATTCTGGCGGTATTGTGTACAAGATCTAGATGTGTTGGCATGATTATATGTAGATATGATTGAATAATGGTTGTTTTGTTCGAAATGGAGCTTGTGAGGGAGTTGGTTGTTTGATGAATAGCATGATGGCTGTCACTGAACGCAGTATCACTTGTTAGTGAACGTCTTTGATCAAGCATCATCTTTCTCCCTCGCTCTCGTGAATAGCTGACGTGTCTTCCATTAGTGCAATTAAGTCGACTGGCTCAACATCACATGTCTTCCAGAGCACAATGGCCGCCCCGCATTCCTCGTCTAATTCGAACATTACTTTCATTCATTCATCACATCATCATTTAAACAACCCACCACCTCTACACCGCCGAATCTTGCTTAGCAAACTGCCTCGCCAACGCCTCAATACTCTCGACAATCCTCTTGAACTCATCTTTCTGCTCCCCCGCTACCTCGCCCCCTTCCATCGCGGGATCTTCATCCTGGTTTCCCCACTGAATCTCCATCGTGTTGAAATCGACCTTGGTATCCAGCCCGTAGATGTCTTTGCTCGGGTGCGAGGGGAAACCCCGGAGCGTGGAAACAAGAGACATGAGTTCGCGGACGTCGTCTCTGCATTGGGGAGAAAGGGTAGAGTTAGATTTGGACGAATGGGTAGAGAGAGGAGGGGGAAGGAGGAAGACTTACTGGGGCACGTCGCCCTTTTTCTCGGACGACTTGCTGTTGCCATTGTAGTTGGAGAGGCGGATGCTGGCGGAGCGGTTGGGCTCGCCGATCACCTCGACCATGTGTGTTGGGGCGCCTGAAGTTTGGTTTTTGGTGAGTACGTTGGAATACTGTTTGCAGGTCAGAAATTTTACTTACCATTAAAGGGTTTGCTGAGAACGATTTGGAATTCGCCAGATGGCGGGGGTGCGACCATACGGGGCATTTTGGAGGATTTGGTGGGAAGAAGTGGTGATTTGATTGGTGAAACTCGGAGAATTGATGGGTGTTGTTCAATATTAGAGGATTTTCAATTCGGTGGAGTATCGAAATGTCACTGCAGATGGGGTTGTCGTGCATTTAAAGTATGATGGGTTTGGTCCTAGAATGTGATGCTGGCACAGTACCCACACTAGTATTTGGTGTTGATGTCATGATGAATCATATCTGCATACGTCGGTCGTGTGCGATTTCTATCCTCACTCCACTTTGATGTAAAAATATTCGAGATCTCGATGATATGCAGAAAGCATTGTGGATGGGGTGTTGGAGCATCGCTGTGTGTTGAAGGTGATCGGGCGACGCGTCGTTTGACGCGCGAACACGGGGTGTGACATCATCGCCTTCTGTTTCTCACTGCACTTTCAGTCTGAAGTTGCTGATGTCTGTCTGTGTTAGCACATGGTGCTTTTTATTTTTGTTTTATTTTTGCCCAGTGTAGTTACTCTGTGGCCATCTTCCGAATTCATAGCATGTCGATACGAGGTGGTCTCTGTGGACAACGAGACTCTTCTGTATCTACATGTTTGCTTTGTATACGCGTTGTCTTAGACGATACGTTTTCATTCTATCAAAATGAACACATAGACAAGAAAAGGTGAATTTGTTGGTCGGAGAGAAGGACCACCTAGCTTGCAAACATAGTGTCATGCTCTTGAATACGACTTGTATCATTCAACCTTTTACACTGTCAACAGCAGGGTCCGACATATCAGGATGAGACTCGGCACACTTCCCAAATACGGCTACTCCTACCTTCTTACGAGGAAACAACAGAGAGCAAGCCAAGATTTTGGTTGTTAACATACCCAAAACTAGGCAACCAAGTCAAGGCCGAAACTAGAGACGGAGACCGAGAAGGCTAATAAGTGCTTACTTACAGCCTCTCGCCCGCCCGCCCCCCCCCCCCTGCTTAGCGTAGGTCTAACTGAATGCATCGTATTTTACATTTCTAAATTTAAAAAAGAGAGAACATACGTCCCTCAATATAGCTTTCCTCTCTTCATATGTCATCTTTCTTACCTCCCTTTGTACCTCTTTTTCTTAGTTGCTGTTTGAGAAAAAAAATAAAAGTTAGAGAGAGCAAAAACAGACAAAACAAAAGGAGAAGAGACGGTAAGAGAAGAGAAGATAGAGAGAAAAGAGAAAAGAGGAGGGAAAGGGGGCTTAGATTACAGCACTGGATGTGATAGGGGTGTTATCTACACATCTAGCCTATCTAGTGATAGATTGCGTCCCCCTTTCGTGCGCAGTCGTCAAACTTATCATTGCGTGGTTTTTCATTCTTTGCCCCTCGCCTCAAAAAGCATGGTCGGGAAACTTATACAGTAGTGATCAGCATCCTAACCGTTATACAGTTAGTTACCCCATGTGTCGGGCAAATCATGGTTTTCCCAGCTTCGGTTGATTGGGTACCATGGTTTTACAGCTGAATATCGGAGATTCATCGAGATAGTGGGAGGCCTAACATTCCCACCATAAACGATTCAAATCACGGACTGTCGATATGCTTTTCGACATCGCTGGCTGTCACGAACGCGTCCAAGGCCCTTCAACAACCCCACTTCCGAGGTCTACAGTAATCGTATCGCAAAATGCACAGGATCACATTCTCAACTACGTGCCTTGTGCTTGTTCACTTGTTACCAGTGCACGCGGCGTTCACCGAATTCTTCTTCGCAGGCAACAATGGGAGCTCCAGCGCACCGAGGACGTGTCCCGACTCACCATTCGAATGCCCCCCTCCTTCCGTTTGCTCGTTGGATGACCGAACATCCAAATATTACTGTTGTATTCCTGGTTCTAGTGATGCAGTTTGCTGGGGGCCTAGTGAGGGTTGTGGAGGAGACAGCACGACACCTGCGGGCAACCAGCGTTCGTGTGGATCTGGTACGGATGCCTTTTGCTGTTTGAAGTCCAGGTTAGCCAATAATTTCCCGCCCAGTCACGATCATTGCACACATGACTGACATGAATTAGCGAGATCTGCACCGAGACGGTAGATCAAATCAATATTTGTTGGAGTAGCCTGGTCAACCCGGTCGCTGGACTAGATGCAACTGCTGTGAACAAGACTGCGCAATCTCTTGCGTCAGCTAGCCCGTCTGCAGCTTCATACCCCATCAAGCTGCCTGATCTAGAAAAACTGACTGCTTCATCATCGGCGACCTTGAGTACGCCAATCTCGGCTTCCACCACCTCGCTCACAACTGCCACAACTCCCACAGCCAGCTCCTCGGAGACCCTCGTTTCTTCGGTCAGCTCATCACGGCCCACTTCAGGTCCTGCCGAGAATGATAGTTCAGGAATTTCTGGTGGTGTAATAGGAGGTATCGTAGGTGGAGTCGTTGGTGGTCTCGCTCTCCTTGGCTTTGCTGGCTTTTTCCTATGGAGACGGAGGAAGAACGGCAGGCGCAACACCTACGAAGCAGCGAACTCATCCGACGCACCACCTACATATGCAAACTTCCAGACAGCAGAAATGAACGCGAACCAGGAATGCGCGGAAGCACCAGTGCAAGAAAAGTATAGAGGAGTCAATAAACCTATCGCAGAGATACCCGCGGACAGGGAAGCGGTAGAACTACCTACTTCTGAAATGAACAATCATCAGATGAATTGAGATATCAAAAATGAAGGAAGAAATCAGAAGGGGTATTCATAATACCAAAAAATGTAGAGTCTTAAGGCATGGTATTCAACCTTGCCATATACACAACAGGGCTCGGGGAGGAACAGCGACAGCACCACTTGGAAAGGAACTTATGATATCGATTCTTGTTAAAATCATCTTGTAGCCAATTCATTTAATCGCAATTGAGTTGCCTAGAAATTCCAAACCCACGAATCGCTAAAAGATCATTTTGCAGTCTTCTAAATCATACGTTGATGTTGTTAAATGGTCTTCGTCATGACACTGCTTGCCACGGTAATAACTCCGGATCATTCCCTTAATCTTTAGTCGAGGATTTCGATTTTGAACAAGCTATTGAATGAAAAGAAAGGTCACGATTTATGAAGGAGAGAAACATGAATGTGGACGGAAATAAAAACCAAAAAATCAGATACGCCATCTTAAACATTTTCCTACTCCCTTCCGCGACTAAACGTTCCGTTCCGCTCGGTAGCGTAGCGGATCGCCAAGAGCCAATGCACGTTCCCTACTACATAAGTTCCTCTCACACCGCGAGCATCCACCTACCCCATGTCCTCGCACTACGTCAGCAGGATGTATGTACAAGACAAACCTGACACACAAGCAGTTCGGCGTATTGTCTATACAGGAGCAAACGACAAGCCTGTTGAAATGAAAAAAATGAAGATCAAGGCTGGGATAGAGTGTAGCGGAAAGGCAACTGATAGGGCTGAGCGGATAAAACGGCATGGACAGAGCAGTGGCACGCTTGGCGGTGGAATTGTGGCGCGCTTGGCGTGTTTCGTGCTCAACGACATGTCACGGGCGCTTGACAATCATATCTGGGCATATTGGATGAAAGGAAAAAAAAGCATAAAGAAAAGAAGAGGATTGTTTGAGATTCCTTGGATACTGGTATCCTAATTTTGAATCTTCTTGTTCGGAACATTTCCCAACTCGCTTTCTTTTTTTCGCCAATAATGGTCAATAACTCTATTCCATTAAACGTAGTGTGATGAAAATTGGTGTTGAGGAACGATTTATGTCAGATTGCTAAAAAAAACATGTCCGTGTACTTCTGCGATTATGCATTTGAATGTCTGTCTATTTAAAGATTGAATACTTAATGAGTGATGTAATGCGTGATAGTGATGGCAGATAATTGCCGTGGGAGCAGCTGCTAGAACGCCGGGATGGCCCAAGATCCCTCACATATCTCTCTAACCCTCTTTCTCAGTCTAGTACCATTCTCCCTAACCCAGATTGGCTTTCTCGTGGGCATAGTCTTGTGCAAATCGAATATTTTGCAGCTTCTGAGCATAGTTCTCGCCTTGTGGTTCCGAGGAAGCCCTGTACGTGACATCGCTGTTCCTTACCTGAGTATTCCACCTGTACAATTCCGGATCAGGACCTGTGGAAACAGGCCTGGAGAAGCGGTTGTGTACGTAGATAGAGTTGCGTTTTGTGCTGATGCTGGCATTGTTTGGCAGCGCTTCATGAACTGAGAGAGCGCGGATCTCTGTTGGTTCAGCTTCGGAAATCGGTGGGATCTTCTTGTAGCGGTAGAATGCATCAAGTGCTGGGATGGAGAGACCGTGGACGACAATAGAGAAGATGACGAGGAAGTAGACGATGGGAACCATGGCAGCTAGGAGGTTCTCTTCTTCTTCTGTCTCAGCCTCTCCAGGCTTGGGGAACAGATGGCGCGTGTGCTCGACGTAGAAGACAGCTCCAATACCTAGGGTCTATTAGTTGAATTCCTTCTTGGTGTACAAAGCCAACGCACCAATGGGTCCAAAATATCCCATGAACAGCGCCTCTTTCCAGTCCTTGACAACTCCGGGCATAACCTTGTAAACCATGAAAATGGCAGGAATACGACGGAAAGCAAGGACCAGAAATCCGAGGATCATGAGCCTTCCAACGGTAATACCAGTGACATCCGGAAGCTGGAACTCTCTCCAGGGGATGATTGTACCAATATACATGAAACCGCCAAAGTTGAGGATGACGTCGAAGCAGCTGTTGACTTCGTCGTGGCGCTTCTCGGTCTCCTCGAGGTAGAGACCATTCCAGTTCATGACGTTACCGGCGACAAAGCAAGCAAGGAGGTCGTCCGTGCCAAGCGCACCGCAGACGCCAATGAGAAACAGGCCAACTGCCATAGGCCAAAGCAAGAGACTCTCGGTGTCGATCCACTTCTTACGGAGACCGAATCGAATGGCAAACATACTGGCAGCCCCAACAACCACTCCAATGGCGACAGCCATGGTGATTATGTATAGCCATCCTTCTACAATCCATTGCTCCATGGCCATAGGTATACCTCCACCTAGACGGCCAACATGGGCTTCGCTGCGTCTGGTGAGCATGTTAACTGCGCGAGTGGCAATCTCGTGTGCGCCCGAGGCAATGCCTTCCTTGAACTCCACGCCCTCGAGATCAGCATGGCGGATCAGATAAGTGGCCAAGAGAAGAAACGGGAACCCGAACCCGTCATTGGCGCCTGCCTCTGATGAGATGATTTCGCGTAGCGCACGAGGGACGAATTTGTCGGCAAAGGGACCTTTAGCCACGGCTTGAGACAAGATAGGATCAGTACAGGTGACACAGGATCCGATGACTAGCGCAGCCAAGAAGGATATCTTGGGGACGGTGATAAAGATACACAAACTTGTGCATATCCACATGGTTGTCATGACTGGGAGAAGACATATCACCATCTCTTTCCATCGGGTTTGCTGGTACTTGGCGGGAAGCTGGAAGCCGGCGATGACAAGCTGGACACCGATGACTATACGGCACATGCCCTATGCAGAGATGAGTGGGGTTCAAAAAGAAAAGAAATCTTTTTTATTGTGCACCTACCAGAGTAATGGCTTCTTGTTGGCCTTCAGCAGCAGAGCCCCATTTTTCTGCATCGAGGAATCTGGCAGCTATCGGGCCCAGGACGATGCCAATGAGAACAGCGGGCACTGGAGTACGTGAGTAGAGGCTTTCTTGGTAGTACAGCTAGGTGTACTGAATAAGTGTTGACTTACGAGCTTCACCCAAGTACCAGACTTGTTTGATTTTGACAGAAAGGAATCCATAGCTGATAACGAAAGCGCCTACAATGGAATTGTGTTACTTGATGCTTGAGGAAACAGGTGTCAGGGGGAGGGGAGGGGGCGTACCCAGAACGGCGATAACAATATTAAGCTCGCTGACATCGAGGACCGGCATGATTGCCCGCCTGGAGAATGCTGAAAGAGGAAAGATGCGGGTCTACAGAGAAATCATAGGATTTTGGGGTGATAAAGATATATGAGTAAGTGGTGTGGAAAAAAGGGGACGACCAGCGGGAGAAGAAAGGTTAAACAGCAGACCAGCCGCACACACTCACAAAATGACGAATTAGAACAGACAAGCAGGTGAAAGAAAGGAAGAAGAGTGCGAAAGCTCCAGGTTAAGTCAGAAGGAACTTACAACGAACAGCCTCGACTTCCTGTGCTTATTGGTCGCTATACTTTGTTACTTCGTATCTCCAGTTTTGCCCGCAGAAGGCATTCCTAGACCGGGCTTGAAACTTGAAGATGTCAGGAGCCTCTTGGCCGAGCATTTCATTTGCACTCTTAGACAGCCGATAACCGAGGCCAAGCAGTGAATGGCATCGCCAATATAGCCAAGCTACACTCCAACCCTATCTTTGAAGGCCCATGTGGGATTCCTGTTCTTGGAATCTGTTTGAAATCCCGCCCTGTCCAACCAATCGATACGAAAAAAAAGTCCCAGAGGATGCAGGAGGGAGTGGCTTCGAGTCTGCCGCGTGGACTCTGGGCAGCTTGGCGCCTAGAATGGAGCTCTCCATCACTCACGACTTGGCATTCCGGCCATCTCTAGTGATGATGAAATGCCATTGTCTCAGGCTGCAAGATAACATGCAATAGTTGAAGTCTATTTTCGAATCATCGTATCGGATTCTTTGCATCCTGGTCGGAGTCAAGTCATGATTGTAGCTCCGTGCACGTGCATTCACCAGCATAACTTGTATTCGTCAGCTGCTTGGAATATACTGGTGTTCATGGCCTTGGCTTGAGGGGTTGTGAACTCGGTTTGTGAGAAATAAATGATCAGAGGGTAGTCAGAGTGATGGGAAGGAGTGGATTGCTCCCTCTCGCGTTTGGCACGTTCTTTCAATCGTCGTTTTCCGATGTGGTGCTGCATATGCGTGTTTGCCTCGGGCGATGGTTCACAGAGTTTGTTCCAGTACCATAAATTATCAGTGAAAGATCGATTGCTTGGCGGAATTGAAGGAGGTCAATCGGATGCTGGCACAGGAGTGTGCCGAGCCGCCCCATAACGAACGTACCTCGCTTGCCTCAAGTTTGTCTGAAGCAGCAAAAAAGCACATTCGAGTTGATATCCGATTGTCATTGAGACAGTAACTACAATCGTTAATAAGTGTTGGTGGAATTTCCCTGCCACACACATAAATCTTTTCATACCCACAAATGATGCTTCAGCCATGCGTCAGTGACTGGCCCATAGAAGCGGAGAGTCTAAATTTAAGCTTAAGTTTTTCCTCATTTCTCTCCGATGATTTTCCCAGGGAAGAAAAACTGCAAGCCTTTGCGTTCAAAGCTTCTTTCCAATAGAAACTAAGCGAAGTAATTGACTCCGGATCAGAGGTGCCGTGAAAATCTCCTGATGTTGATGAGATTGGCTGTTCGAAACTTTTACCGCTCCTTCATACTGCTCTACCGGCTAATTACCAAATACGAGCCGGGCATACAAAAGTGTGGAGGTATGTTCATTACCCAGCGTCGCAGTAGATTTTTAACAAAAATTTATACGGTAAGCCACCTTCAGTTTCTCAGTAAGACAATCTGCAAGAATTTAACTGCTTTAGCTACCTAGCTCTTCAGGATGTGCATAAAACAGGAGAAAAGAAGATTACTTGGATACGTGTGTGTGTGTGTGTGTGTGTGTGTGTGTGTGTGTGTGAAGGGCTAGACTAACCTTTCCTATAAATTGAACTGCCTTGAATTGAACGTTCAAAGGAAGGCATATTAGTGCTATGTGCGTATGTTTTTCGACGAGATGAACGGTTGTAGTGAACAGGTGTCAGGAGTGTAACACCCACGAGTCCTACTCCGGCGGACTGCAAAGACCTTCACCTTCGTTAGTGTACGCCGACGCTGGAGAAAAGAGTAAAGTGTGTATAGTAGAGGAGTCACGATAAACTAAAACCTGTAGGATTGCCCTGCTGTCTATTGTACACGAAAGCTCCCCTCTTATAAACGCTGGCCTGGATCGAAGCTTCTGCCCAAGGGTGACTAGTCATCCTGTGCATCGGCACAGTAGTACTAACATTGTATGGAACTCGTCGGCGAAGCTCAGGTCTGGCGAATGAGGTGCTAACTAGATGTCCCTGTGAGAATTGGTCAAAGATGTGGTGAAAAGAGGGCGCATTTCTTTACACATACGGGAATATCGATCATTTTCATTTTTGAGATAGATATTAAAACACTATTCCGTTACAATCTTCCTAGTTGTTATATACCCCATGGCTGAAAATATGCATCAGCGAAGGTACCGACAATAAACACTGCAATTATAAGTGTTTATCCAATCCGAAATAGTTCGCAAGAGGCGTTTCCAATGTGGCCTTTGGGGCTTTCTCGAACCTCAGTAGATTACAAAAGTTCTACTGACATGTTTTGTATAGATTCCATGCTCAATAAACAAGCATCACAAGATGTTGCTTCATTGCCTCCGACCGGAGATAACATGGCGATAAGATTAATTATCAATCCGATGTTTGTTTCGAGTAACTTCGATGATGCTTTGCTGGACATGAGCCCGTAACTAGAATTGAGACTAATACAGTAACAACTCGTTCGTTTTGCCGCATATCGCCGACTTTGCTCAAGACGCGCGATCCAGAAACAGCAAGAGAAGCGGTGAAATGTACTCGTGGTCGGTGGAACTTTGACGGAGACGGCCGGATCGAGTAGAAACTCCGGCCTGGGAAGCCATCGAAGAGGAAAATGATGCCGTAAGTTTGGAGTACCAAGCCAGCTCACTGAATACGTGTAAGACGTACGTGCGGGATGGAAATGACGCAACTTGTGGTGTTGCGCGCACTTTTCTTCGTTCTCTCAAGCACGATGATGACTATCTCCAAAGGCAGCCGTAGTTAGAGAACGAAGAAACAGACGACAAAAAATAAATACCACAATGAGACGCAAAGATATGGCCGATAGGACACCAAGGTACCGCCCGTTTCGCATAAAGCGTGAGTCTTCAACGTCAGTCAAGGTGGGTCAACCCTTCAGCCCTGCATAGTCGGGCCTTTTTGTCAAAAAAGCTACCCCGCATGTCGTCACACATTCACGCCTGGAGCTATCGGCGCAAAAAAGGATACAAGATTACAAACTAACCCTCTCCCAAAGATATAAAAATATAGTAGGAAAACACCCATCACACATCAATTTCATCCACGTCAATCCCACTTTCCACATATACATCAATTCCATCTACGAAAAAAAAAACCCCAAATCCATCACAATGTCCAAGCCAAGCATCCTCTTCGTCCTCACCTCGCACAACAAGCTCGGCGACACAGGCAAACCCACCGGCTGGTACCTGCCCGAGCTCGCGCACCCCTACCACGTTCTCCGCAACAAAGCCAACATCACCGTCGCCTCGCCCAAGGGCGGCGAAGCGCCGCTCGACCCCGCCTCAGTCGAAGCCGCCAAAGACGACGTCTCGGTGACCTTCCTCAAGAACGACGAGCAAGTCTGGAAGACGACACAGAAGCTCTCCGACTTCATTGGCAAAGCGGGCCAGTTCGACGCCATCTTCTATGTCGGCGGCCACGGCCCCATGTTCGATCTCGCCGACGACGCCACCTCGCAGCAGCTCATCAAGGAGTTCTGGGAGGCCGGCAAGATTGTCTCGGCCGTGTGCCATGCGCCCGCTGTACTCTACAATGTCAAGCTGAGCGATGGAAGCTTGCTGGTTGCGGGCAAGGAAGTCACTGCGTTTACGAATGCCGAGGAGGAGCAGGTCGGGTTGACCAAGGCGGTGCCGTTCTTGCCAGAGGACGCGCTGCAGAAGGCGAGTGGCGGCAAGTTTGTCAAGGCGCCGCAGCCGTGGGGCGAGAAGGTGGTTGTGTCCGGCAAGCTGATTACTGGGCAGAATCCTGCTAGTGCGACGGGTGTGGGTGAGGCGCTTGCTAAGGCGTTGGGTATCTAGGGTTATGATAGTATGAATAATGTATTAGTACTGTAATGAAGAACATGCTCTGACGAAGCAATCATGATGCGAGACACAGTAACGTATGGGAGCTAGGTCATGTATGATTAAAGTGATGTCATCAAAACGTTCATTATACTCATTAGCGACTATGTATCCAAGGCATTATTTACAACCACTTGAGCTTTCCTTCACTAGCTTAAGAACCACCCTAGTTCCTCTCGAATAAGCCATCTCTACCCACCTCACATACTCCCATATACGTATGCGTACTCTGTCACTGTCTCGTAGACGAGAGCCGGGGGGCAAGCCGGCGGCTGCGCAGGGTATCCCGGCGCCTTTGTGGGAAGTGGAGGCGGAACAGCCGGATATGAAACATGCTCAGCAGGCTGGGAAGGCGTCTCATGGGGCTTGATAGGCGTCTTTATGCAGCTGGAGGCCGGAATAGTCGAGTTGCCATAGTGCGCTGAAGTCGGGATGATGGTTATGGGGTGGGGTGTTGTTCCTGGCTCGTCAGTGCATGTCGTTGAAACGGTTCCGTTGGCCGTGGTTATGGGGACGTGGGAAGAGACCGGGGGAGCAGAAGAGATGTAGGAAGGAACCATGGTAGAAGGTATGTGGGGAGGAGGAGCCAGAGTAGTTGAGTCGGGGCATGGGCTCGAGGGGCCGGGGATAACTGCAGTGCTGGTGGACTTGATATCCGAGGTACCTGGAATAGAGGGCTCAGGAACTATTACGGTGCTTGAAGACTCGGTGGAACTGACCTCGGAGGTAGAGGCCGCAGAAGTGGGCGTAGGTGTGGGTGTGGGTTCAGGTGAAGGTGTAGGCGTGGGAGTAGGCGTAGCCGAGCTGGACAAGACAGACGATGAAGAAGGCTTGGTCAGGAGCGGTGTAAGCTTGTCGACAACCCACGACGAAGATTCATCTGTGTACAGCTCAAAGTAGTTGAGATGCTCAGCAACGTTGGTACCACCAGCGCAGATTGGGTCACCGGCAGCGCAGTATGAACGCAGGACAGAAGAGAAGCGGTTCATGCGCTCAAGATTAGCACCCGTACGCGGCCAGACCTGCTTATCGGCACCATCGAGTACGTTGTATGACTGGTTAGCAGTATGCTTGACGTCACCCCAGAGGAGAACCGCCTTGAGGGCCTGGCCGGCCTTGGAGTTGGGATCAAGACCGGTAGTCTGTGGATCAACATCGCATGCGTCCTCACCTCCACCACTGAGTGTAGCACTACCGATCATGGCACCTTGAGAGTAACCGTTGAGGACAATCAAGGTGTCCGGGCACTTGGCATTGTACTCTGTGATTTGCCTGACGCCGTTGACGGCGCCCTCCTGGATGGTAGGGCAGTATGGGACACCAAGAGTGGCATCGAAGACAACGTCCATGTAATCACAAGTGAAGCCTTTGGCCTTAAACTTTGCGCAAGTAGCATCGCTAAATGGTGATGTGCGTCCGTCGTGGTATGGAGCGTCGTTTCCGCGGGCCATGAAGATGGCTACATTGTTACAATCGGCGGTGAGCTTTGGAGGAGTAGTGCCTTGCGCACTGGCGAGAGGAAGAGCGGCGAGGACAGCAGCGGCGAGGCTCTGCCTGAGCGAGGGTGTTGAAGTCATTTTGTCGATCTCGGGGATTTGAATTATCTTTCCCTTCTGGGGAGTTGACGAGTTATATTAAAAGTCAACAGACTTGATAGCGACGGTGGTTATGTTATTAATGATTAGGCATAAGAGTAGAGCATTGACCAAACCCCCCTTTGTCGTGAAGTGGAGCGAAGGTGGATGACCCGGATAATCGGACAACGTGGTACACGACAAGCAGGGAGGAGTGAAGACCGTGTAAGAAGAATCTGAGACGACGACGGCGGATACCCAAGATATGTCACACAGTCAGTGGAGCCAGCCCCCCGTATTCAGGGCCGCCACGGGACAATCTATCGATATGTCTGTGGGTACCAAGAACACGATCGGGCAAGGGTGCATGTTGGCAAGCGTATACTCTTGGCTTTGAACCAGTTGCTTGAGTTGTCAGCACTACGCTAGCTCAGTGAAATATTGTATATCCACGGATGATGCAGTCGTAAATGGTTAGCCGCGCGCTGCTAGCACGGGAGAGGCAATACAGTATGTTGGTGGTGCGTTGTCTTGCATTGCAACCCCGGCATGATGCCGTATCATGTGAGCAGCAATAAGCCACCCGCCTAGGCCAGGCCCATGCAGCATGCGAGAGACGCGGGATTAACGGTAAAACCGTTGAGGCTGAACCTTCTCTTCAGCATCATTCCAGATCTCTCTCAACGAGCATTCGAAACGTCCACGGTTCGCGTATCGAGCGCTGTTCCGTCAATTCGGCCGAGTTAGTGTGCATTTGCCATGTGCAGCGGAAAAGTCGTCCCGAAACCTGAGATCATGCAGACCCTGCCCATCCCCCGTCTCAAGCTATACTGCTCCTGCGCAAAGGACCGCCGTAGTCCCCTCTGGTTCCTCGAGTGTCCGAAAAGGGTAAATGACCCCGGATCGCCTTCCCTGTCTACCGATGTGCACAGCGCAGGAATAAAACCTGGCCGTGGTGCACTAACAACACCGTCGTTGCATCGCAGACTAGAGTTTGGATACCAGGAAATCTTCATCATGACGACTGTTGTCTCCCGGTAAAAATTCGGCTTCGCGACTGGAGTCATGAGCTACCCATGACAGCGATATCGTGACTCGCCGGCCTGGCGGCTGTGATACGAATGCAAGTATTTCTGGGTCGCTTGCGCAATGGCGGCGGGTCGATGCTGCCACCTGCGCAAGGTCGTTGCAGACGTGAAGCGGCGCCTTGTTAGCGCCTTACCCTTTGGCCTTGGATATGACGACGACGTGTGTGAAGGAATCCACTTGGCACTGCACGCAAAACAAAAACAGGCTTCCAGAAAGCAGGCTGGGTGGCATTCCGGTAACAGGACAGGCGACCCGTGTGGCGGGAGTCGTATCAAGATCAGAGTATGGTTCGGCCTGTCAAGACATACCCGCAGTATGCGACTGTCCAGAATGTGATCTCAAGCTGCATGGCTGGTGGGACGGGAAGCTCGGTGTCGCCACTCGCGCAATAGTCGTGTCTGTTTTTAGAGTGGCTTATCCGGACAATTTTTCTATTCGTCACCGTCGCCGGCTATCGCAGAAAGTAATATATTGGACAAAAAACCCCGCTGATAATACAACACCAGAAGTAGAAGTGTATTCTATCGAGAAAAATCCTTTGGCGCAAAGTGCCTCGCCTAGCAAACACACTCTCGCACGTGATAGCCAGCACATCACATGACATTTCTTGGCATAGCTTCGATCGATCATTGTCGCATCTTGCTGACCGGAGCAGATCATCGAACAATTTACCAAGACCACAGAACAAGCCCGAGTTCCTCCATTATAACAAAATCATGTCCATCTCATCTCTTCTCCCCACTTCCATCCAATCTCCTTTCATTCCGCCGGTTCCTCTTTACTCTGCGTACTTACCAATGCCAACCCCCCGCCAAGTCTTCCTCTCACCGAAACACATTCCAAAACCCCAGTCATGAACCTATTCCACTATGCGAACAACCCTAATCAGTGCAAACATGAAACATCTGCTCACTATTTACATATTAAACAAGTAGCTACATTTATTAATGTGAACAGCGATCCTTAGTCGAACGGGTAGATTGGCCTTCATTGCCATCGTGCGTTGTGAGGACGGGGTAATATCGGTCGGTGGGTTCGGATGACAGGTACCCGGATATGATTCTTTCTTTCAGTGACCTAAGGAATTGCGGTTCACGTTCTGGAATGCTGAGTTGTTTCGTTGGGGAAGGCGCTAGTGGTGGTTGCGACTGGGTATGGTTGTCGAGCGTTTCTGGGTGGTATTTGCTTGCCTTTGGAGAGACCTGACATTCATTTTACATATACATACTGTGATGTTAAGGACTTGTCGCGGTAAAGCCTTATCCGTCTTGAAGCTTCAAGAGCCTGATCTGAACAGAAATAGTGAAGAAGCTTGGCAGAAGACTAGTCCTGCACTATTAATGATGTCGGCGTTACAGTTATCTAACTCGGTTTTTTTAATCTATTCACTAGCGTGCTAATATTACTAGCTATTATATAGGTGTTAGTAATCTCAAGTATAGTACAAACCCAGAGTAATAACTTACCACTGAAGCGAGATGGCCCAAGTTCCTCGAACATGGTAGGCATAGCCAAATCTTTGATGGTATTGCGTCCGATAATCACTTGGCATTCTTGACAATCGATAACCTTGAAGGTAGCGATTTCATAGCGGGGTGGCACGTTGTCGCGATTACTGGATTTTACAATATACCATCTTCCTAGGATCTCGCCTAGGAACTCCATCTTAGTACCATCGATCGTAGAGGAGCCGATGCCGTTTTCGTAGGGTTGCCATTCTACAACTCTCTCGTTGAGAAACCGAGAAGTGACTAAGTTGTCATCACACTGGGTATCGAAAATAACTATGCCAACGACGAACATCGACCATTTTCGAATATTACTGTTGTGAAACAAGATATTTATCAATCTCAGGAATTGTTTGTACTTCGGCTGCGGAAAAATGGTTCGGGTAAATCTAGAGGAAGTGATAGGGGAAGTCAAGGACAATGAGCCATGTGTATGAGGAAGGCTAATTTCGAAGCTCAGGAAGTGTTCATAGATAACCGAATCTAACGAGAGAATGGCAAGATTGGGCGAGGTTATCAATGAACTAGGGGGTTCATCGTCTCCCATTTCTGCGATATATTGTTAATCGCAGGTCTGAGAGCCTTTGCTCTGTCCGCGAAACTACGATCGTATCTTCTGCGCCTTCGTCAATGACGCCCGCTAGTGTGCCTAATCTGCAGTTGGAGGAAGGATCCCGGAAATATCACCCTTTTCTAAGCGTTATTATCTACATTTGTATTACATACTCTGGAAAATATCATTAGTTTGTTTTTAATAGGCTATCGCAGTACCACGGCTTGCAGTCGATAACAACCATAGAGCAAGCTTATGCACTACCAGGGTAGATAGAATGAGCCAACCACGAAAGAGAACATCAAAATCCATAGAGCTACGTAAGCCAGAGTTTTCCGCTCCTTATTTAATCACTCTCTTCGTCTACAACCATCTCGAGCGGAAACGTACAACGACACAAACAGTCCTGAAAAAGTCACGTCCCACAATCTACGCCCTCATCCAAATCAACGGCCGTTCCACAATCGCGATGCGAGAAGCAGGCGATTCTCCGTTCATGGCATTACCTACCGAACTGCGTTGTCAAATCTACAGCTATCTGCCGGACATCGCCTACGAGCCCATTTTCCCCGAGCCCATTTTCCCCGAGCCCATTTTCCCCGAGCCCGGCATCTGCAGCTGTGAAGTATATCGCATGCCAACCGCAATACTCCAACTTAACAAAACTATATACGAAGAGGTGAAGCACCACTCGATACAGGAGCCTATACAGAAGGCCAATGATCAGCTTCCACCCAGCATTGTTCTCTGCCCGACGCCCACTGATATGGACGATACATACTTGGCGGTCACGGATGCATTCCGTCAAGTAGGTATATGGTTCGGTGCTGAGTATGTAGGGGGGCGCAAACACTGGGGTTATAAGACGCTCGAGGATGTTGGTGTTACCATTAAATGGTGGTACAACAGGCCGTTTTTATTCGGGCCGGATCCCAGTGAAGCAGTCTTCGCTCCCTGGACTAGGTATAGGACCGAGCGCTTGGACAGGTTTGTGAGGCAGACTTTGAAGAGAATGGCGATTAGGGAAATGCGCACGATTCACTTTCAGTTGGTACACCCATTGGAGATTCCTGGTCAAGAAAATAAGCCTGGAGACCCGTCCTCCCAGTACACATTCCAAGACCCAATGACGGCGATAGCGGCTGGATTTGAATACCTGGGACCGTTTGGTGGCGGGATAGAAGACAGATATTTTTATCTCAAAAATCCGCGTCAGAGAGAGATCCTGGCTTGTTTGATATGGCTAGCTCGCTCTGATGAGTGTTTTCTCCAAGACAATTCAGGTATACCGAGTCTACGTCAGTAGTAGGAAGAAATTTAATATTCCCGAAATATATTCGATGAACCTGGCAATGATGCCCTAGAGATACACATTGTTGGATTAGTACTCGTAGGATGCTGCGCCAATTATATATGTGATGATTTCGATGATTATGAAGCATGTGTAAGACGAAATGAGCGTTTCTTGTCGTCAGCTGGTATCCTTGACACGCGATATGTGATGGCGAGCATGGCTATTGGAAATTTTGCTTCGTCTTCCCCCATGTATACCCCTATACTTTATCATCCATACATTATTAGTCGCCTATAACCTCCTCAAAATCTTCTATTAGTCTCCATGCCGAATCAAGATGAGGACGACGATTACTACGGCCTGTGATTACGGATCTGTATCAGATTGCAGTAGTAAGTTCTTTTCTAAAGAATAACCTTTTATCGACGAATCTTTCTTATATATAGAGGCATGCTAAGAAAAGAGACCTGAGAAATATGCTTCGCGCGGACTCTTTAGAGTCTTCAATAGTACTGATAGTATCTAGGGGTGCCGTCAATCAAATCAAGAGCATTTTGTTGACCTTGCAGCTTCATCTGAAGTCGTGCCTGATTCGCCATGATCTTCTCCTGCGCATTCGCAGCACAGCGTTGGCTTGCTTGATCGATGCGCTGCTGAATCTCCACCGGCCGTTTTGGAGGAAACACGTATCGTGGCAATGGCCCACGCTCTGGCCAGATGTTGTACACGCGCAAGGCATTGTTCAGTCCAGGCACGACAAATATGTCATCTGGATCCGACGCATATTCTACTGACATGAAGTCGATAAATCCGGCCAAGCTGAGGAGTGGCATGCCACCGTATGGCAACTGTGGCGTGTTAGAATTGCGCACCACGACCTTATGATCGAAATAGAAGCCTTCGAGTGCGGCCTTGAGCTCGAAGTCCGCCATGTCCTCTTTTGCAAACATGCCGCCGTTCGTGAGACTTCTCTTCCCTATGTGTTAAAACACGGAAGGGTTAGCTTTTTTGCGTGGAGATTGCTTGGAATTCAAAGCTAGGCTGCGGTGAAAAAGGTGACTTACAGATATTGTCCGAATCCTTGACGCGCGATGCCTCCAAGAAGCTCGAAAAGGCCTCTGGAGTTATGTATCCAGTGCCTCTGGGATCAAGCCTCACAAAGAACTCCCTCATCAATGCTTCAAAGGCCGGTGTGCCCCTCCCATTTGTGTAGAACAAGTGTTCGGTCCAGCCTGATGGCGGAGGTGCCGGCTCCTTAGGCTGTGGTGGGAATCCAGGTGGAGCACCGTACATGGTGAGCTGGTGGTGATAGTTTGCGAAGTAGAAGCAGTTGGTAGTTGTGCCTATGCTGCGCAATAGATATGCGACTTCAAGGTGATCAAAGGCGTCGTTTCTAGGAGCCTCGAGTCGACTTTGATCTCGTATTTCGGCGAGAAAGAGGGGTCAGGCGGGACGGGATAGCTCCCGGTATAGGCAACATACAATCTTCAGCTGAAAAAGCCATACCAATAAAGTACCTGGCAAGCGAGTGGCGCATCTCACGACTTCCTGCGACGAGCAAACTCGTAGCTATTCTGACCCATCAAACGTGATGTGCCGACATTTGAGGTCTCCTGAACAACAACACAGCACCGACATGATGGAAAGCCTGCAAATGCTACCTCAACTCAAGGAAGTTCGCTGCAATGAAAGAGGTGGTGAGTCCCCAGTTGATCGTCATGCACTGCCTCGTCTACCCGCTGTCAGACCTAGCGAAGCTCCTTAGCGGCGGATACTTACAGCGCATGACCTTGCACCAATAGTAGCTATGAATCTGCATTTCCAAAAACTATGACGCCTACTTCGTACAGATCCGATTGATCTACAAAGTAACGGCTTCCAGGGCTAATCATAATAGTATGCAGCTAAAGCTGCAATGAATCCGATATTCAGATAGGTGAAGGCACATAGTACGCGGTCACACTCACTTCTGCCCAGGTGATTCTTTGCGTCCTTACCGCCAGCGCG